TCAACTTAGCAGCTGCAACCGGAACTGCCTACTCTTGCGGAGGAAGAGCTAAGGGCTTCAGCTCGTGTCCTTCGCCATCTAGGGAGACGAAACGTCTGGAAGGTGTGTGCGCAGGCTTTTGAGTCACTGAACGCGCTTCCCCCCGTGTCATCTCCTACAGTCTGCCCAAAGCAGTTGTGCACATCTTCACAGGTTCGTGGGAGAGCCTGGTCGCAGGAGTAGACGCCGCGGTTTTTGACACAAGCGGGGGCCAGGCAGAGTGTTCAAAGGGGTGGTGCGTTGCCAGCAGGTAGACCGGTGGCGCTGAGAGCTAGGAGACTATCTAATTTGTCAGATAGAATTATACGCCTTGTAGCTTGCTCCTTCATTGAGTTGGTATGCTCGGACTCCTTCCTTTTCGAACCCAGGAGACGCTCCGTCTCGGGGCCGGGGAGCGGATGTGGTCAGGCTATGCAACGCCATGCGCGTAGAGAGCTATCTTGCCTTTCGCTTGTGAGTCTTTTTTCTGTTTGCCATGTGGCTAGCGGGGAGGTTCGGCATGCCAAATCATAAGGCAGATCCGCAGAAACCTATTCTGCAAACGGATCATCGTTCAGCTGCGCTTGACCAGCCACCTTTTGCAGCAAAAAAGAAGTCCTTTCTGAGCTGCCAACTGTGCGAGATTTGATTGATCAAATATTGATAATGTAATTTTTTATTTGAGATGGAAGTTCGATGACTAAAATTTTTTCCAGACTTTGTGGAGAATATGAATTTAAAAGAAAGAAAGTTCCTTCTTTGAATCCCACTTGCTCGGATTCCATACCGTCTCGACATTTTCAGCATTTGGACTTGGAAGGCAACAACATTGTTACAACCGTGTGGGTGCAGAGGTGCTGCCAACAGAAAAGGAGGCAAGACCTACCAGGTACCAGTGTCACGCCAATCTTGCAACATGCTGTTCTATTGTTCAACATTTTCAAGATCTTTTGAGACATCCAGGGTCAAGCCAACTACAAATGGTCATTGATGACCCTGAAAAAGTTGTTGCGGATCCGGTTTGGGTTCAACAAGCGCATTGATTTTTTGTTGTTGCGTGTTTTGTTGTTGTTGCGTTTTTGTGATGGCGAGCGCTGTGGTATTGTTGGTATGGCCTGCATTTGCATGTATATGCAGCAATTTAACTGCATGTATTATGCAGCCATGGAATTGTTCAGCAGGTTGACAGATGGTTTTTTGTTGGTGACAGTGCCGTGCATCACACATCCCAGCAACATCAGCTGGTACCAATTGGTCTCAAACAGGTTGGCTGTTGTCGTGTTGCCATAGGATCGGCAATGATCTACCGCCGGCGTCTGTTCACTCCGCGGACGCCGGCTGATGACTCACTCAGACGCTGTGCATCTTCAGAGGCTGTTCTTGCACCCATGTGCCTTCAGCATCTTTGTGTCGACAAGCCAGCCAGAGCCATACATTCAAGATGTGTTTGCTGTTGCGAATTGTGCTTGCCGCGTCTTCAGGCTTCAACAGAAAGAAACAGATGTGGGTAGTAGCTGATAAGTGGTGCAACGTACTATACAAAGCTACATGGCAGGTTTTGAAACGGATTTCTTTTGCTCGAGAATCTTACTGCCTCCTGTTTCCGCGTATCATGGTCTGATCATGCGCACATGTCATTCCTACATTTCGAAAACAGCCTGGCCAACTTGGTTTGGATTTCCGCTGCGCTGTCGCTGGAACAAGGTTCTGTCCAAGCAAACACATCACCGCGCGGAACGGACTCATGGAAAGACAGAGGTTGCCAAGGTTGAAATCCTGGATCCAAAATCTGTTCCCAATTACGATCTCCGCGACTTGTTCGCTAAGATGATAGGACTCAACGCAGGTATCAAGTTGAGTTGAAGCTTTCATCGTCGCATGGCTTGTGTCGCCACATCCTGAAATTGTGGAGCTGTGGCTTATGTACTGGATAGCTGCCCTTGTGATGTCCAAACTGTTCACCTGGACTTAGGTGACCTTCCGGCGGAGTTTGAAGCTCTACGACGTGAAAAGCACAGCCAGGCTTGGAGCCTCTCCATGTTGAGGTGATTCAGGTTTGCTTCAATGCCCGTGCTTCACATGCCGGAGGTCCAGAAGTGGATTGCCGCAATTACCCACGTCCTCGGCGACAAGAGCGTTATTCACCCCAACAAGCTGCCTGGAGATATCAAAAACCACCATTTGCGAATGTGCCGGTTTGGTTTACGTCTTAGGCAGCTTCAAAACATCAAAGGACTCAAGACAGAGATCACTTTCGCATCAAGTACCACGGGATGATGTACCTACTCTATGCCCCCACCAATCACAAACAGGACTTGGCACACTTGCATGCAAGCCTTAATGCTTAAGAGATTTCATTGCTTGGAGCCGCTTAACTGGTTTCTGCTTCTTTGGTTGAAGGATGGGTACGAGCTCACCTCAAAACAGAAGTGACTTGGCAGTCAACGCAGTCCAGGTGCCAAGTTGGCTTGCGTGCACTTCAGCTAAGGAAGTCTCTTCTCAATGCCCTTGCCCACATGGGTGTGTTTGGCGACCGGGATGTGAAGCCGGACACAGAAGCCGAATGATTTATTCATGACCAAACCAAGGCAAGGTCGTATACTGCAGCTCAAAGCAGCTGCCCATTGCCTTTCAAATGTACAGCAGTTGTAGCAGCTTACATGGAGCACTTTGAAGAGCACTCTGTCTCAAAGCTTAGCAGATGCTCCGTTGCTCACGCATTGCATTCTGAAAGTGGTGTTTCTAACCAACAAGGGCAGCAAATCAAGCTTATGACAAAGCGTAGAGGATCCATGAGACTTGTTTCTCGCGAAGGCGCCTCCCGGCCGTGATTTGTCAGGCTGCAGCGGGGTTGGAAAACTACTTCAGTGGTTAGTTTGATTCAGTGTGGGAACAGACTCAACTGCAGGTTCGAGTGTAATCCGCGATCCGGAGGCGGGAGAGTGTTTGAGATCGTTAGGGCCACGAAGACAACTTCTGCTCAGGCCGTCGCAGACCGCATTGCTTACCTCTTGTCTCACTCCTCTCCACCATGTGCCTTGAGGCATGGCCCGTAGTTCTGTCAACTCAAGCTGCTAGGTTGCCTACCCTGGCTTTCTCATCTTGCTACTGCGCAGGAAGTTGCGCGAGATCTTCCGGCTGGCACACAGCCCGGAGTTTGAAAATCACGTGTTTTTGCATTTCAGAGAACGGCCGAGGTCGGATCTGCCAATGTGCGGCTGTGCCTGCGAGCTCGTGGATGGCTTCCAAAGTTGCTTTCGGAGACCTCAGCTCTATGCAAGCAGGAGTGGATGCCTCAAAGTGCACGGGGTCAAAAGTTCTCAGCTTTGTGATGCAGGCCTCAGAACTGATGATCACGGAGTCGTGCTTCTTGCAGGGAGGCCTGTGGCCTGCAAGATTTGGGTTTGCTTCCTCTGCTGCAGCCAGGCATTTGGTATTCGCTCAGCATGGATAGCGGCGCTGCTTCAGACATCTTGGACGGGCTCTCTTAGATCGAGTGTCTTTCTGGTTTGAGCCGATATGAAACTTGAGAGGAAACTTCCGCAGGTTCTGAGCTTTTGCGCGGCTGACTGTAGTTTGTTAGATTTGCAGATGCTTTGCAGAGGAGGTATCCCTGGAAGAGCTTCTATCCGCCATTGAAAGTCCTACTTGTGCCTGGCGCTGAGATTGCAAAGGCACACGTAGTGCCACTGTTGTGGGCTGCGGCTATCACTACACTTCTTCCTTGCTTTCTCGTCCTGTTTGTCATGAGGAATCGCATTTACTGGCAGCAAGCACTCCCGAGAAGCCAGAAGCAGCAGAAGCAGCAAGTCCATCCGGAATCTACCTCAGATTCTGCTTTGACCTGGTAGTTTCCATAAACAAGGGGACCCCAATATGGACCCCAAAATACTATAGTCCTTATTATGGGGACACCCAAAAAGGTACTTCCCAATTTTGGGAAACCCCCACCTTGTTTCAATGTATAGAACCTAGGGATTATAGGGTTCTGTAGGGATATATAGGTAACTACTAGGGGTATATTGGGGCAATATTGGGGTTACATAGGGATAATGGAAAAGAAAATGGAAACTACTGTGAGATACCGTGATAGAACCCTAAACCCTAAACCCTAAACCCCAATACCGTGAGCAGGCTCCGGCCTCTTGAAGCGACGAAGGGCTGGCAACGCTTGCGGCTGAGGATGCTCGGTTTAGGGTTTAGGGTTTAGGGGGTCTTTTTTCCAGGCAAAGATGGCACCCTAATATATCCCATTATAGTAGTTTCCATTTCATTTTCCATTATCCCAATATAAACCCAATATAACCCAAATATAACCCCCATACATCAAGCATTTAGGAACTGCAGTTGGCAGGCGACTTGGGATTAAGGTCACAAGCCCCAATGTACCTCCTCAAGGAGATCCCAGCACTGTTGAGACCGTGGTCCAGCACATCAGCCGCTGCAGGGAGGACCCTCGATATCCGTTCTTTTTTTGTCTTGCTTTGCAGGCCAGACCCGAATCTCAGTATTGAGCAGGTGAATGCCAGATACATTTTTGCCCAGAAAAAACGCCGCATGATGACGAATGTTGAATTTTTGCCTGATACGATACTGCTAACCGCATGTAGGGCTCGCGACGAAAGTGTTGACAAACAGATCTCACAGTCGGGCTCATGCCTAGTGTTTACTTCGAAGTTGTCATTTCCTGCAAGTGTATAGTGATTGACATGTCAGGCTGACAACGCATTAGGGTGTGTTGTCTAAGCACGTAGCAGTAGGAGGAACATGCTGTGAAAGGCTGTTTGCCATGGCTATTCGCTGCTCGGAAGTGCCAAGATGCCTCGGCAATGTGCCAGGCCTCGCTTTGCAAACCAGTACACCGAGCGCAGCAAGCCGAGTCATCAGGAAGCCCAGAGAAGAAGAATGGAGAAGGGCAGGTTTCAAGGCAGCAGCCTTGATTCTCGTGCCTATTGCCACTGGAGCTCGCCGGCAGACCCTAAGAAGAGGCAAAACTAAAGTCTTTGCTTCCGAGCCGGGAACGAGTATGCCTACCCCTCATCTTATCAAGGATACTTGGTATGACAAGACTGGCACTCCAGAGCAGGAAGCGGCAGAGATTGAGCCGGCACTGCACTTGCTGCAAGCTCATCGGGACTCCTTCAAACACTTTCTGCAGCACTGGTTTGCTTTCGAGCTCAGGAGGCTGTCAGAGCATGTTAAGCTTATGGAAGACAGTGTTGTCTTCATATCTGAAACTGAGGCTTCACTCAAGGGGATCAAAGGAATTTCAGGGCCGTTGCCGCCAAAAGTTGTGGCTGCGCCAATCTCCGACGTGTTGCCCGCTGCTTTCCAACTTCAGCGTTTTTCAGCTCACCTGTTGTTGGAGAGACTGTACTTCCTTGAAAGTGCAGAGTCTGCAGCTTTGGTAGAGAGGAGGCAGGAAACGTACACTGCAACTGCCGTTGTTCCGATGCACGTTACTGATCGTGAAACCGGGCTGACTTTCACCGCGCAAGTGCGGATTGGAAGTTTCCCAATGCTGCTTGAGGATGCAAGCCTTATTGTTTCCGGAAATCCTTACATCGTGGTTCATCGACTAGAGCGAGCCGCAGGTCCTTATTTCTCTACAGAGAGCCCGACACCTGAAGCAAAACCCTTACACACCCTTGAGCTCTGTACAGAGGAATACTCTCGTATTCGCTGCAGGTGCTACGAGGATGAGGAGGACCTGCTGTGTCTCGAAATTCTCATGCCGAAAAGTAACATTCCCTTGCCAGCATGCTTGGTGCTCCTGGCAATAGGTCTGAAGCCGACACAGATCAAAAAAGCACGGAATGCAGGCCTCATATGGACGAAAGAGCATGACTTCCTTGAAAACAATGATGATGACCCCAGCTGGGTGGCTGCCACAGAGTTGTGCTATTTACTGGATTTAAACACAGAAAGATTTAATGGCGATCCGGTCGCTGCCTTTAACTTCAAAACAAGTTGGTCATTTGGCAGCCGACTCGGTCCTTTGGGAAGGCGCCGCTTCAATGAGAGGCTGGGCCTGGACCTTACAGACATGAAGCTAACTCCGAAGGATTTCCTGGCATCATTCGACCTTCTGGTGGACTCCTACTTTGGAAGAGCCTCTCTGCAACCTGATGATATCGATTCTCTGAACAACAAGAGGCTTCGTTGCATTGGTCAGAAGATGCAGGGCCTTGTACGTAACTGGCTTCTGCAAGTTGAAGAAAAGGCTGGATGTTTTCCTGTGAAAGTGGATGCCGCGAAAGGCACCGGAGTCGTGTGTCTTGACTCATGCGGGGTGCGTGGTTTGAAGGATTTCTGTGTCAGCGAGCTTTGGAAGGAAAACAATCGACAGATGCTCGATTGCGTGAACCCACTTGCAGAGGTTGTTCAGGCACGTCGTATCAGCCAAGTCAGTGAGCTTGGGCTGGACAAGATTAAGCGAATTCAGGGCATTCGCTTAATTCACGCAAGCCACTACGGTCGCATTTGTCCCATCGAAACCGGGGAAGGCATGAACGCTGGTATTGTGATGGCCATGGCTTCCAACACACGTGTCACACTCGACGGCGAGATGGAAGCCCCGCATCAGCGGGTTTGCCAGGGATGCTAGGTCATTGACGAATAATGTTCTGATTCTTTTTGAGAAATCAAAGGGTAACTGCGGGCAAGCTCAGGATGCTAAGAGCGGTGAGTTAAACAAACAACAGACCATCATGGCCTTCAGGAGTGCAGGAAGTCAGCAAGCCTTGGGAGTACCTCCTGGCTCAGGACGGGAAAGCCAGTCTCTTGTTACGCCAATGTTTGCTGTTTGAAAAGCTTCAGCAGTAGTGGTCTTGCGTACACCATGCTAGATAGATGACGTAGAGAAACCAAGCAAAGCAGAGGACCAGTTTGCCTGTCGAGTGGCTCAGTTCGACACGGCTCATGCATGCAACGGGGCTTTGCTGGCTCCAGCAAGGCCGGAGAGAGGAGGCCAGGTGGGTCCCGTTGCGGATCTGTGGAGAACCCCAGAAAGCGTGAAAATGACACACCTCGGGCTGTTCGGGTCATGCTCACCAACACAGGTTGAATATATTGCTTGTGGAGCTCCGAAGTCCGTAGCTGTCCAGTTGATACCGTTCCTTGAGCATGACGATGCAAACCGTGCACTAATGGGGGCAAAGCATCAGCAGCAGGCTGTCCCTACCCTATGGCCCGAGCGACCGGTGGTGGGTAGCGGAATGGAGGCGCAGGTTGCCGCTTACAGTGCAAGAAACAAGCTCGCTGGGATCGATGGCCATGTGCTCTATTCAGACGCAGCAAAGGTGATCACAGTCTCGTGTACAAAGATCTGCCGAACAGATCCGGACGTGCACACCTTTAGACAGCGTCTTCACCAGTTTTACCTGGAGAACGCGGCCCTGAAAAGCTGGCCAAGTGTCGACAGCTTCAGCAAACTTTGTATGCGCCTTGGGTACGAGGAATTGGAGCAGTTGCATAGCAACTTGACCTCAGACCTGGAGAACCACCAAAAGACACAGAGGTTGCTAAGCTGGTTCGCGCGAGTCGGGATTACAGCAGCGGATGGTAGCAGTGTTGCGAAGTTACCGCCGGTGGAGCGGGAAGAACCCTTGCCGGAAGGATGGATCGAAACGGAATACTGCATTCACACAGAAATGGTGCATCACATGATGACGGACTGTGCTCCAACCAAGAAACACACACTGGTGCACGATACGGTTACTGTCCGACCAAATGAAGCAGTTTGCGCAGGTGATTTTGTCTCGGAGGGACAGGGTATGTCTGGTGGTGAGTTAGCGCTTGGCAAGAATCTTGTGGTTGCATACTTGCCATATGAAGGCTACAACTACGAGGATGCCATCGTCATATCTGAGAGAATCGTGCGGGAAGACATCTTGACGTCTGTGCACATAGAAGAAATCACTCATGAGCTTCAGATCGAGGACGTGCTGTGCGATCAAAATGATTTTGATGGGCGATGTCACACGTTGAACGGGTTGGCACCTGAAGGCTTGTGGCTTGAGAGTGGGGATGTTGCGATCAGCTATTTGCGTGAAGGAAAGGGCGAAATCAGGTATGTACGCCTTCCAGACGGTATTCAGGGAAGGGTGATTGACTCAAGCATCCAGACTATGGATATCACGAGTTACGGCCATCTTCAGAAGACACGAGTGGCATCAGTTTTGATTGCCGTGGTTTGCCGTATACAAGTTGGCGACAAGCTATCTGGCCGTCACGGAAACAAAGGTATTGTGTCCAAGATAGTTCCGGATAGGGACATGCCCTACTTGCCAGATGGCACTCCAGTGGATATTTGTTTGAACCCTCTGGGAGTTCCTTCGCGCATGAATGTCGGGCAAATCTTTGAGAATGTGCTGGGAAGCGCAGGGCGGTGGAACGGTGAAGAATACCGAGTGGGATCTTTTGACGAAATGTTCGCAGAAGAAGCATCAAGAGGCCTGGGAGTTCCGAACTTCAGAATCCATCTCAAGTTCGGCTAGGTGTTTTTTTTGTCTTAGTTAGGTCTGGTCTTCGAAGCGTTGCGACGAGCGCAGATGGCCTCTGGCAACAAGTGGTTGTTGGACGCTGCATCTCCTGGCAAGACTCGCGCCCACTGCCCAATCAAGTAGTCACAGTGAGGGTTGAAACAGGATGGTTCCTTTTGGATGTTTGTTCCTTCGTGCCGATTTGGGATCTTCTTGACCAGAATGAAACAATCAGCAGAGGTGCTGCATGTCCACAACTAGTGAAAGCGCAGGACGTCAGAAGGTTGTGGCTTGCAGGATTTTGCAGTTTTCAAGAGTGACACACACCTTGGAGGATTTCTTAGGAAAACTGGTCAAGGGACTTTCTCGGCATGATTTCTTGGACCTGCAAGGTCTATGATGGCAGGACAGGCAGGCCTCTCGATACGCCCATAACTGCTGGAATCTCGTTCCTTGTCTGCCGGCGATGTTCTCGTGAAGGGAAGCAAAGGCCATGGCTTGGTATGCTGCTCTGTTGTCTGCTAAGGTACATCATCAAGCTGTGTCACATGGTTCGCGCCGCTGTACTGCACTTCATTGGCTGGAGTGTCTGGAGAACGTGGCCCTTTTGCATGGATTTTCATTGCCTGCTTTGTAATTCAGAACACCCTGAGATGGCGAGTTGTGACGCCATGCTTATTGCATGGCATTCTGCAGTAATCAGCGCATGAATGAATTGTGGCACACGCTCCCAGGACAAGATCCACACGCGGCCTTCAAGTGCTGGTAAATACCATGTGGCTTGTCTGATTTCCTGTGAGCTTGCAGCAGATCCCAGTCCCTTCTTGAAGCTTGACTGATGAGGTCATCACTCAGCAGCCAGTCAAAGGACGCACCCCAGCTGCATTTGGGGTGCCTGTGGATGTGCTTCTTCCGTGGTTGCTCCAAGAAGTCAAGATCAATTGATGTCGGTAGACTTTTCCCTTTTGACGATGTGGTCTGCCCTTCACATTGGCCTCTCTCTTGGTTTGTTCTGGGAGGGCCGGGAACGAACGTACAAAGAAAATCTTGTGCTATCCAAATGCAGACCTGTAATGGTGTGTAGGAGTGTGCCGGGGGGCAGTAGGATTGACAGCTAGTAAAAGTGGGCATGTGACCTAATGAGCTCTAGTTTAATCGCTAGTGAGAGTGCCGCCTCGGCGGCGAGGCTGGGGCGGAACGTAGGCAGCTGTGTTGCAAACTAAGAGGAGGATGAGGCTGCCCTCAGCTCTCCTAACAGCCTACCACAGAAACTCCATCCAGCGGCAATATGACTGTCACGCGTGAGGTATCTGTTCATCCGTGGGCGCATAAAGTGCAGGGATAGAGAACAAAAGCGAAAACTGTACATGCTGTCCGGGCATCTCCCTGGGCCTTATACGATTTTCTGGTGGTGGAGCCTGGTCGGGAGAGTCCTTCAGTACTGAGTCCACATCGTCACCTAAGACACCATGTCAGACTCGAAGTCGCATGTTGCAAATTACATCGCAGATGATGTCACCCAATCCGGGTTTTCTGATGGTCCCAGTCACCCAGCCGCACGTGCGGCAACTAGTTATATTCCTATGCTAGTAGGCCTCCTAATTACACCCAGGATCCCTCCTGGATTCGTCTGCAAGGCGAGGGCTGTCGTTAAGCACCTGATGTACAGGCTTAGCTGAGACAAACAAGGATCTGCTCGATCCGGCCCAGCAGCGAAGCCCGGACAACGGGGTACAGTACTTGGAACGGAATCCGAAATGTTTACTTACGGAGGTTTCGTGCAGCTTTTCAGGATGAGGCGTGGCCAGAAACACTATGTGATCAAAGAAGTGCTTGGTGGGACTTGCTGCCAGAAGTCAATCGGCAGCATTCTGAAGTTCAGTTAACTACCAGCAAGAACGGTTTTAAGTTCATAAGACAAGGCTTTGTTCACAACACCCAACACAATGACCAGAACGCCAGCCTCCGAAAGTAAAAGGAAAACAAGAATGGAAATGGACACCAACCGTGGAAAATGGTAGTTTGTCCTTTGAAGCTGAAAGCTCGCCTCCGCAGGAACTGTGGCTGAAGACTTCATGTACGAACAGCTGGTAGAAGGCGTACAACGTGTAGAGGCTTAAAAGACAATTCAAATGGCTTTAGAAGCAATCGGCATTTAAGTCAAAAGGACTTGCCCAAGTGCCATCAGAGCTCCAGCTAAGCAACCCAAAGACTGATAGGCGGACATCGGTAGCCTGAAGTCAACACGCAAAAGTCAAGTTGTCCAGCAGACCCTCAAGGGCTCAAGTTGCCGAGGAAGGGGAACTCCTTGAGTGGCCACCGCAACATCTTGTTAAAACCCGTCGATGTATTCAATGTCGTATTTGATTATGACCGTAGGTAAAGCACTTTGAAAACACCTCTGTCTGCCTCACAGGAAAGGAGAACAGGAGCCCGGCAATTAGCTGCCGATTGCGCGTTCTTCAAACACAGTGGAACCATCCGGATACTTGCATCACCTCTGAAACATTTCATGTATAACTGAAAGGGTCATGCCCTCTAATCAGCAGCGACACGGGATTCGCTACGCTTCTTTACAGATTCACAAAACGAGTCTTTGCTTTGATCCAGATAGTTGGGCCACTATCTTTGTGCAAAGCTTACTGCAATAAATAGCTCCATCCTGTGTCACTTATGCCTATCACATGTGATCCATCTGTCTATCCGTGCCCACAGTGCTTCAAGGACACGGAGTAGAGCAAGAGAGAACACGAGTGAAAACTGTGCGACCCACCCCAGACTTCCCCTGCCTGATGCCCGCGGTGTGGTCGGCCATGGTGGAGCAGCACGCTCCTTGGCCCTGTGGGTCAAGACTTCCGAACATGATGAGAAATCGATCCCCATGCCCTCGAAGTGGCCTCCCGCCTTGGTGGGGCATCAGCTCATGGTGCTGTTGGTGAAAACTATTGTATGAGCTGGCGTAAGTTGGTGGGTCCAGATTGTTGCATTTCTTGAGATTTCACTACTTGCCTTGTATGCCGTGCACGTAGTGCGGCATGTGATGCATCCACTATGCATGGTCTGTGAAACGACCATGGCTCAGAACCCCAGACTGGTACGTGTACCATTCGTTTTCGTCACAATCAACAGTTTGAAATGCCCTTCATTTCACCAGTCAAGCTCCCATATGAAACTTGGGCAGCCAAAGCAAGTGGCACAATAAACGTTGTATTCTCATACTTCAGCCAACATTTTCTCTGCAGTGAACTGATTGTGAGCGCCCAGGCAATAGAGGTGGTGGCTTGCGCTTGGGCGAAATGGAAGTCTCTGCACTGGTGGGTCATGGGGCAGCAGCAACCTTGCAGGACGCGCCAAGCGATGCTGGTTGGTAGAGTTTTGCTGCCATTGCTATTTCAGGAGTTGATGACCGTCAAGTCAGATGATCTGCAGGGAAGGTCACAGCTTCGTGACGCACTAGAAGAAGGCGGACCCCAGCACGCAAACCTTGAGTCAGTTGTGCTTTTGCGGATTCTGCCAGGGCAGACAGTGGAGCTGCCAGCAGGTGCAACTTCCGAAGGGCAGCTGAACCTGCAAGCAGAGCTGGTTCAACATAGGCAGCAGAGCAAGAGCAAGTTGGTTTCGCGCCACCGTCCCTGCAAGTAGGTTCTTTGATCACACGTAGGTGAAAGCTGCATACCGGATTATTGCGAGAATGTATTGTATGTTGCAATAGTTGTGAAACCACCTTGCTATAGACAGCTCCTTCGTGAACAAGTTGAGTTTTCAGAAGCCTGATCTAGCATCTTGTCACATTTGTGCAGACACAAGGTATTTGGCTTTCAGTCGTGAGCTAGCGGCAAGTGCCCTGGTCCTCTCCGAGGGTGCTTGGTCGGACGATGAGCTGTTGTAAGCGCCGCCATGCTTGCAACAATTGGGTTTCACAGCCAGCACACGCCTGGTCCAGTCAGCGCGACTGTACTGTGGCTCTCAAAATCTCATGCATGCATGTCAGCAGCGCCTTTGATTGTAGGTTTGTCCACAGTATGTCTAGAAATGTTCCCCACCAACTCCACCTTAACTTCGCTGCGGCTTGGAACAACCGGCCCATGTCTTGTAAATAGCCTGGTGTAGATGCATTCCTCCGATTGTATGCAGGACTGTGACCTCTTGCAGGATGCAGGCCTGGGATCATTGTCGCGATCTGACTGCTTGCAAATGCTGACCGCCGAACTGCGCTTGGTGCACCTTTTAAGTCATCATATTGGTTCAAAGTCGTCACCAGTACTGGATGAAGCAGCGGTGCTGCATCAGGGCCCTCAGAAAATACAGCAATCAGACAGATTGTTGCAGGTGCAAAGAGGGCATAGGGAGATCAGGCCTACTTGCGTGCCGCACATTGCAAGGTCAGGCTGTTGGTGGGGGTGACATCTCGCTGTTGGTGCTGCGCAGGCAGATCTTGTGCTGGCTCACGTGTTTTGACAAGTCCACTCTGAACATAATCATCATAGCTGCAGCTGACATGCGCCAGGTTGTTGCGAAGCATGAGTTCGGCCACCGCTTCGGTACCTGAAAGTGTGCGGGGAGGCAAGATACATCAGAGGCTCGTGCGATGTCTGGCAAGTGCCGTGGAGACATGGTCAGGTGGGGGAGGCGTCGAAACGGGGTCTTGAGAAAGGGATAGTAGTAGTAGTAGTAGTAGTACTATTACTAGTACTAGTACTAGTAATTTTAATAGTAATTGTAAGAGTAGTAGAAATATTAATAGTAATCGTAATAGTAATAGTAGCAAAATATTAATAGTAATGGTCATGGTAATAGTAATAGTAATAGTAATAGTAATAGTAATAGTAATAGTAATAGTAATAGTAAGTAGTCCTCATGGTGAGACTGACCAGGTGGCTGCAGCAGGCAGCAGAAGGTGGCAGTCGCCCGCCTTGCCGTTCTCTGGGAGATTTTGGAACTGTGTACGCGATTGCACCCATGCTGTCAGAGTTGTCAAGAGCTTGTACGCCTTGCCTCCCTGATTCTTCATGAATGTGTGGTTACACCAGACTTGTGCTCGTCACAATTGCAGCAGGCAGTTCTCAAGACCCTGCATGCCTTGAGCTGCGAGCCGCACTTTGCAATCCTGCTGAAAGATCAAGATAGGAAAGCTGGTAACTCACTCTTGTCTTCACTGCTGGAGCTGATGAAGAAGAGTGGTGGGGCTGCAATTCGTCTAATAGCTGGTACGCTGGCCAATGCTGCTTCAGCAAGTCCGGAATTCTGCAACACACTGAGCACATTCTATGTGGATGACAGCTATTACCGGCAGTTTGGCCGGGTGCTTGGGACAGATGTAGAGGATGAGATTGCAGGAACGGATCCCTCGCGAAGCACTTTCGCTGCATCTTTGGCAAGGGCTTTTGCCGGATTCTCGCCTGCTGCTTGCACTGCTTCGCAGGACGCTGAAATCCACGTAAATTGCGCCGTGGTGGGGCTGCTCCTTGCCTGGCTGGCGCAGGGTTCCCCTCATGCAAGCGGAGTTTTGGATCAACATGTGGGATCACAGTCTTTGATCGACCTGCTGCGAACTTTCACGATCTTTCAGGATCATTGCGGCGTGCTCACTGACACCTCCCTCATATGCATGCATAAGGTCATTACGTCACTAACGAACCCACTGCTGCCAGATGTTCGGCCGGCCTCGCGCTGATTTATCGCGGTATGTCACACACCAGAGCGTAGTAGGCATCTGAGTTTTCACCCTTCCGATGGACATGCCACAACTTCTGGCAGATCAATGTCCACTTCCGAATCCGAAAGTGATTGAATTTTTGAATGAGCAGAACTGCATGGGAGTACTCGTTGAACTCAGATGTTGGGGTATGAGTACGAATAGCCATCACATCATACAGAGCTTTGTCACCTGATGCTTGTGGTAGCAGGGCAGTTGGCCAACTCGAGAGAATCCTGTTCGGGTCAAACTGGATTCGAGATTCGATTTGCCCTGGCTTGAGCTCTGCCAAACTGGGAGCCATGGACTTCACCCAATAGAGGGTGTTCCAAGGAATGCTACAAGCAGGACCAGCAAAAATGATTCCGACTGATGATATGACAAAATGAGACGTTGTTCTTGTCATTAATGAAGATGGTAGAGATGGTATAGCTGGATGGACTACTAGCAACAGCATTCGTTGAACGCTACCGTAGCTATCATGGTAATGGTTTCCGGGTTGGTAGGAATGCTAGTTGTATCAATGCTGAGTGACATTGAGGCCTTAAAGATGGTTGAGATGGTCTGAATGTTCTAATGCAGAGAGAGGGCCTTGAGAAAGAGAGTCGTCCAGGTTTGGTCACTTGCAGGCGTCTTTCACATCTTGAAAATAATGCATGCGTCTGCTCAACATCCACCTCTGGATGTAGCTTAGGGAACAAAACATGAATCTCGATTCAATCAGTGCTAATACTTGGAACAAGAGGATTTGGAGATCAACCTTTCCTTTCCATTCGTTCAAAGCAGAGGGCATGCACAATGGAGCTGATTTAGGATTAGCATATGTTGATATTGGGAGCGCCTTTGGACGTTTATTGCAATGGCGCTGAGGCCTCAGTCTTCTAGGGCATACGAGCTCCTGAACGGGATCAGCAGCAGCACCTCAACTCGTTGCCAAGGTGTGCACCCCTGCCTCGTGAGATAATCAAGTGGCTCCAGAGTTTGGACCTCTCTTTCAGTGGCTTTCTGAGACAATTGAGTGCTGGCGCAGACGGTTGACAGTGGAGATCGAAATGAAGCCTGGCAACACCAAGGCATCAAGAACCCAAAACGGGATCTGAGCAACGGCAGCGACCTCTACCTGCTGCCGTGTAACAGGGTTCAAACGTGTAAATGTTTGTTCCCATGTTGCTAGGTTACCTTGTGGCAGAGATCTTGTCCAGATATCATCCTCAGGACCGGGTCGATTCTTGCAGTGCTTCCACAGTACGATCAGTCCTTGTGGCGCATTGCAGCTAGATTTTAAGCTTTGGTCTTGTCTCCATCGTTGTTCAACGTGCAGGATGTGGACATGAACACTTTCGAAAATGGCTCTAGGTTGGAAGCAAAGGTGGGCTCGCAGCAAGCATTCGCTGTCCTGGTTTTCTTGGTTTTGCTCTATCATATCCATACCTGTATCCCTGCTTGCAGGTCGACAATTGGGAGCAATTGTACAAGCTCTTTAGAAGAAAGGGCATAGGCAGACAGCACGCTGTGCTTGGATGCTGTGTGCTGAATTTGCAGCTATGCGGATGTTTTGAAGGCATATCCAAGGCCGAGTCTGCGACCAAGATGTTCTCTGCATCAGCCATCTTCAAATTTTTCGAAGCCAGTTCTCACAAGGGGCCATGTGCAGGGGGATGGGATATAAACTGCAGAGTGTCTTACAGCTTCGTAAGGAGTCCACACCAACCTCATACGCGTGAAATCTTAGAAGCTGGATGCACAAGGTTCGATCCTGTGATCCACTGTGCTCCGGGTGCAGTCTGGCTTGTTTGGGGTCCCTGGGTCTGTGCCCTTGAGCATGGAGGAGCCACATGGTGCAGTTGAATCCGCGTAAGATGGCAAACATATTCATGACAGGTGCGGCAGTAATGCTTATGTACAAGATATACACATTTCTCACAAAGTGTGTTGCCCGATCCTCAGTTTTCTGGTCACAGAAGGATACAGAAGATATGTGTTTTGATTGTGTCTGCGAATACCTTGAACATGCTCACCGTTGGTTGCGATGGTTCATTTTGTGCTCAGAAAAGCTTTTGCCAGCACCAAGACACAGAAAGATACAACAAGGTTTTAAGCAGGCTTTGACAACCTCACCGCATAAATCACACTACTCTGCTTGACAGTACGGATTCATACTTCAAGTGATGAGGGCTTTATTGCTGACTCCTGAGCGGCACTTGAAGGGAGCCTGGTTGCTGACGTTGCAGGCGCAACTTGAGCGACTTCAGCCGGAGAAAGTCGATGTGGACATTGTTTGCATTGAGCACTGGGGTCAGAAGAATTTTGAGATGCTGGAAGACTCGCACTGGAACATTGCAGTGAATCGAGTCTCAGATGCTTCCGAACCCCCAATAGCAAAAATGGCCCTTGTCATTATGAGGCAGCTGGAGCTCCGTGGGGTTCCTGTTATAAATCCCAGTGCGGCATATTCTTTGTTGATGAGCAAGTCTGGGCACCATGCCGTGCTGCGTCTTGCCGGCGTAGCAACACCAGACTCAGCTTTCGTCAATGGCCTGGGCTTGAAAGAAGCAGATTACAGCCAAGCACTTTCTTTGTTGTCGAATAGTTTTGGTGAATCTCTGGAGGACAAGTTCCCCTTGCTGTATAAGCCATGCGCTGCAGCATATGCGAAGGGAGTAGTTACAATGCAAAATGCGGAGGATCTGCAAGACTTTGCCCGCCAAGTCCAGTCATCTGTCACCTCCTCTTGCCAAACAGTGGGCCCTTTAGGCAACGACTTCACCGGATTCCTGCAAAAGTTTTGTGCCCCTGATCAGGGCCAATATTTCCGTGTTTTTGTGCTCAATGGGGCGTTTCAATGTGCAATCAAAGTTGTTCCTCGTGACGAGTCGGGGCCAGGAACAGCATCGGTTACCTCGACATGTGCCTGCTCTGCTAACAAGACATCATCCTCCCCTCTCCGTTTTTTCGCCTATCAGCCTACACAGGAGGAGGCAGACGAGGCAGTTCGGATTCTCTCAGCAGTGGCTGGAGCAGATTGTGGGTCAGTTGAGTTTCTGTACCTGGAGGGCAGGCGCCTTTATTTTGATGTGAATCTCCTGTCCCACCTGCCTGTGCTTGACGAGTCCGAGGGACACTTTCCCGGCTTCGAAGATCCTGGCGGCATTTGGTCTGACCGGAATTTTTACGCTGAGCTTGCCGCACTGTGCCTAAAGAGAGCAGCCTGAGCGGCAAAAAGACTCTCACCTTGGCAGCAATCCAAAGCACTCACACGAGTACAGCTTGCAGGGTTGTAGACCTGCAGGTCCAAGCACACGCGCCCATCCAGGCCTGCTCTTCCAACGAGAAAGTTTGCAGTTTAACCCTGGCCTCAAGTTCCAAGTTGCTGTTTGGAAGGAATTGGTTAACAACCAGCACGAGCTGCCATCCTTCATGCGGGACGGGCCTGCTGTCACGTGCTGACTGGAAGGGTGATTCTGCGAATGCATTGCGAGCTGGGGATGGCTCCTGCACATGCGTAGCTTCCAGTCAAGATGGCATCGTGGATTGTCGTTGCTATCTCTCAATCTTTTCACAGATCGGTTTGGCCTTGCCTTTCATGTATGTCTTTCATCTTTCTGATGCACTCATGATCGTTTCAGGACACAGCATCGAAGCGTTTGAAAGATCCGGAAATTTCCCGAATCCAGGACAACGCCTGACGTCTTAGCTTTGCGTGTTGCTGCAGTTTCATCAAGACCTTGCTGACATGAAATCAACATGAAGATGCCTACTGTTCCCATTAAGGTCGAAAGGACCATTGTTGCCATCGACACTCTAGGTGTTTTTCACCAGGCCCGCATGAGAATGATGCTCATATTGCGTGTATTCGGTTGACACGCATCCTCCACGCATGATGCAAGGAGCGGCGTGCGATCAAAGCTACAGAAGTCTGCATCTCAGCTTCTTAGACATATTTGGCTTTACCTGCGTTTGCTTCGCTGAGGCCCCTGCTCTTATCAGGCAGGAACGAAGATTGCGAATGGGTCTGTCGCAGGAGATCTTGTTTCACTACGCGAAGCACATCGAAGCACTACTTAAAACATGCTTGATGGGACTGACTGATTTCATGACTGCGAGGTGTGTTTGCTCAAGCATGAGCAAGCAAGCACATGCGAAGAACACTTATAGTCTTGGTCTTCAGGTGTATCTGCCTGCTGAAATTAGCCCAAGCCCTGTGATGCCGGCGTCTTGCCATGGAGCAGCACCGACGTGCAAATCTGCTTATTCTTGCATCGGTCACCATCTCCTGTTGGCCCCTCACTCAGATCTGAGACTCTTGAGGCAGTACCTGTAGCAAGTACTTGCTGCCAGTGACTTCAATCATGCCTCAACGTGAAGTGAAACCAGTAGGAGAGTCTATGTGTATCGCGCATCAAGGTCGCAGTTGCACCTTATGACGAGCTTTTCAGGCTTGAAATCTGTTGCCGTGCTTGTGGTTGTTGCGGACAGAAGTAGCTGGTCAGCGGAGACATACCCTTGCAGCAGGTATACGGCCTTTGCGGCATGTGTGTGCAGCCCAGAGAGTTCGTGTCTTGACCACTTTTGAGTACAGCGGCATGTTAATCTTGGATTCGCGAACGCGCACAGCTTAGCTTGATCTAGTCCGCGGACCCAGTTGCTGGCACAGTCACAGGAGCGAAGAACGGATTCATCGCCAAAGACTTCCCAGCCTCAGGAAGGGAGGCTACCTTGATCAGGACTGACAACCTTGCGAAGTTTAGGAATTCTTTGCCCCTCGCTGCTCATCTGACACTGCGAGTTGTAAATCCAGTGTACGCCTGCAGGAGTGCAAGGACTGATTATCGTGGACAACAGAAGCTGAAGGCAAGTCATTTCTAGCCATCGGTGCAAAAGCGAACTGTCGGGGAGACTCTTGAATCCCTTTGATTCTGGACTCCAGAGTTAGAAGCACGAAGCCACGAAGCTTATGCTAAGCTGCCTGCAAGCTAGCTGTTTACCTGTCTGTTCCAGGCATATTATATCAACACGGACTTGGACGATTTGCGGAGGAGTGGTCTTGAGATTACCTGTGCGCAGTTGGATTTGGCTCTTTGGCTCACTGAGCAGTAGAGGAATGTAGAGTACACCGAAATTACCCCACCGAGGCTTGCGAACGGGTTGTGCCTCCAAAGCTGAGCAGTGAAGAAGTTCTTCATTGCGTAGACACTACACCCTTGCGGTCCTTTGAGCTGCTGGGATGAAGATGGATGGTTTATCGGAAGTGAGGCAGCGCAGGTGTGTGGATGCTATGATATGCCACGGAAAACTTGCCTTGCAAATCCGAAGGATCTGTTGAGTTTAAATGAGGTTTTGTAGCCTTAAGATATGTTTGTGCAGAGTGACTGAAGGCATGGGGTTGATCTGAAGGCGCATCTGCCTACAACCTCTTAGCTGAGGTGCTCGTTGGTGTACGCACATCGTAGCATCCTGCAGCGGATCAGTCTTGGAAGCGAGGCGGCTCTGGTGTTGGAAGCCCCTCGTACTGACTGCGATGTCCAAGTTGGTACATGTCCAAGCTTGGCAGGTGTGTCGCGCTTATGTTTTGCTTAGGATGATGCCAGGCTGAACGGTGCTATCGGAACTGGAGCAGCCAAGGTCCTACCCTTTTCTATACAAATTGTGAGTGTGTTTCTTATTATATATGTTTTCAGGAACTTCTTCAATCTGCAAGACAGCTGGACTTCGTCATGGCAGGATGGTCACTTGACAGACAGTCTGCTCAAACTCTTCCCTTTGGAAAGCTCATGGCTCATGAGCAGCTCACGTGATTTGCAGAGCTGAGGTGTGATCCGTCGTGCGCACATGCCTACTTGGTGTGCTCTGGTTTGCATTTGCTGTTCCAATGCCCAGACGGGAGAACATGCTGCATTGCAATGAGGTCTCCTAGCGGAGCATCTATGCTGCTGAATCAGGGATTCGCACGTTGGAGTCTCAGAGCACGCCAGCGGGCATGGCTCTAGCTTTTCTGAGCTGGCCACAGGTCCAGAGCAGCCAGCGGACTCCATGTTTCCAGCTGCTGGAATGCAAACCGCAAAGCTTACAGCAAGCCAACAACAGTTTTCGTGTCGAAACTCATGCTGCGAAAACCTCAAGGCATTCGTGGATGAGGACCACTGGCAGCCTGCGCTTTGGAGCAGGTATGTGTCATCAGTAGAGGCAGAGTTGCCGCTTCAGCTGCAGGATGTGTTGTTTCCAAGCAGATGTCCTGGTGGGCGTCACCTGCAAGACTTCATTCGGCGCATTCAAATGTCTCAGCTTCCTATCCTGCGGAGCCAGGTATCCTGGAGACATTGGACTATTCTGCCAAGACCGCTCTACGCCTCATTGTAAATCCTACTCGTGCTTCGGCTTGGAAGCACGTTAAAGTACTCTGATGTACATGTACAGCGGTCTATGCGAAGTAAGAACTGCAGGTACTACTAGCTTCTGCGAAGGTTGGCCAGTGAGCAGGGTGTGAAGCGCCTGCCCTTGGCTTTCTTTGGATTTGTACTCAACGCGCCAAGTTTGCAAAATGGGTGCCGCGGTTGTGTGTTGCGTTTTTTCTTCCAGTTCTTGCACTTACTCCTGACTCCGCCAGGAGGATCAAAGCAATGACAGAGAACAGACGGACTCTGTCATGGTCGATGAGGTGAAGGCACATGGTGCAATGCAAATTCTGCGGAGCAGCTTGTATCCCAGTACAAGCATGATGGGGCTGATGACATGAGTCAATGAGGTGAAAGCACTTCAAACAGGAAGTGCTCAACTTCGAAAGACTGATGAAAAGTGCTCCTGCCATGTTTATGACTGCTCACTAGCCATATCATGTAGGCCCTGACGCCGGCGCTGTCTCGGGGGGCTGGCTTGCCAGGAATGGCTTTTTTGAGAAGTAACGCAGATGCGGCAATTGGATTGGGTGGGAGGGGCTGGGAGTATGGGCGATGTGGATGCAGGTTTAGCCTTGGTGGGGCAGGAAAAGCTGAGAAAAGGGCAACATGTACTTGAACACTGGGCCTGGTGTGATCAGTGTTTTCCTCTCACAGGAACCAGGAGGCACCACCTCCGGTCACAACCCCGAGCCGAAACTCGCTGCTGAAGGCACGCTTTTTCCTCTAGATACGGACTTGATTAATCATGTTGATGCAGTAACTGCCAGGCAGTGAGCAATCCTCAGGCATGCTGTGCAGCATTAGCTGGTCTGCAGCACTTCCCTCAGCATGGAATTCCGTGCTGATAGCAGCTGCATTTATGAACAAGCTGCAGGCAGAGTCAGACAATTGCCAAGCCAGTCTGGCACTGGGTGCACTGTCAGTGGGTGGATTTGAAGATATTATGCTGAGAGTGCAGACGTTGCTTCTGTTTCGGCTGACTGCATGCCAAGGCGACTGAGATCATGCGGCCTTTGGTGTTTTCCATTGTTCAAGAGTCCGAGGCGGCTTCAGATACCCGGTCCGCGTTTCACATCACATGATATGCCAGGAGTTCTCAAAGATGATTGACACCAAGAAGGAGGACGGCACATGTTATTATGAAAGGAATGTTTCTGGTTCGCCGTTCTGTCGAGATTGCAAAGCATGCTTGGTATGTTGAGTGGCTTCAGTTTGTTGTCATGTATGCAGGACATCGTAGTCGCATTCATGGAGCAGTGCAGAGAAGGCGTCAGAGATGCCAGAGCCTCACAATCTCATCAACCCAATGCTGTGGGTTGCCAATTCTGTGTCATGGGTGTTGCAAATTGTGTGATAAGAGTGAGATGTCAGTACGATCAGGCCCCGGGCCGAGAGTTGCATCGCGACATGCCTGGCACCCATTGCAGGGGAGGACCCAGGCCATCACATGCAGAGTTTGCTGTCAATTTTTCAAATGCCCAAGGAATGGCGTGGCAACGCCGCCACTGGAGTTTCGGATGCGCGAGATTGAGGCAGCCTCTGTGGGTATCTCACTCCTTGGCTGCAAATGGACCTGTCAGGAGACATCTGTGCGAGTGTTTGAGACGCTGGCAAAACGCGCAGAGCTGCTGGTGAGCTGCTCGACTCTGCTGCTGTGATCCACCGTGCTCTTGGCTGTTTACAGCCAGGTGGACTCGTTGACAAAATCACCTCCAGAATTTTGGAAGGCCTTTGCAGTGCTTTGTAGCTGGTCCGTATATGGACCATTCGCGTTTCCTCGGCGCAGCCTGATGGCTTGCTTGGTGTGCTATTTGCATCAGGTTTGGACAACTTTCTACCCTGCACTGGCTGATTTCTCGGAGTCACTTGCTCAATGGTTTTGTTGTTTGCATATCTTGGTAGTTTTGACATGCTGTTTGCTGTCCTTTGCATTTCACACATCTGCTCTATTGCGCGCAGCGCAGGTCCAGCCCAATCTTCGAGAGCGCGCTGTACTTCTTCAAGAGGTACGCATTGTGCTTGAAGTTGCTATAATGCTGCATGGGCTGTATTCATGCCTCCGCCATCTGAGACCCATGCACTTGAAAGCTGTGTGAAGGCTTGGCGAACTTATGCGGGAGCAGGATGCGATATTGCATCAGCCTTGGCCATGAAGTGGTGATGTCTAGAAGGTGGAGGGCTGGTTAGGGTCAATTTCGATCTTTGCTTCCTTTCCGTTTCTTCGAGCCGCTGTCATCCTAAATCTGACTCCGCTTTCCTCCTTGCACGGATTTCCCATTTCTACGCCAGGCATTTATGGCTTCCACATAGATCATCTATCACGTCCTGCCATCGAGAGAATTTCCAACCGAGGACCCAGCAGATGATGACAGACGTTGCCCTGTCTTCGCTGGCAAAGGCACGTGTTGAATCATTTCTTTCCTCAAGCTCGGTCTGGCGGCCTATGTACTTCTGCTTCTTGCCAGTGAAATCCAGACAAAGTTCCCTCCAGATGTGCCATTCTAGACAATGTTGGCAGCTCTCTACAGATGCTCTTCCCGAGCTGAGGCAAGAACGGGACGATGACAGCCCTTCAACATGTAGATCATCAAAGCAGCAAACCGTACGAAATGCCTCGAGAGGAAGAGACCTCCCAAAATGGATTTGTTGACCAGAGAAACTCAGGAAGAATGGGCGCCACAGAAAGTCCTGAAGCTGACGTTTCCGCAAGTAACGTTTTCCTGACATGGGAGTGAGCATGTTAAGAGCACGAAGCTACAGAACATGATCAGCACCAACGATGCTGCGTGTTTCTGTTTTATCTTAGTTAGTAATGTCCAGAGGAAGCTATCGCAAGATTTCAGGGCAGCGAAGACATCAGCAGCTTTGCTCTGTGGAGTGAGTGGAAGCATGCTAGAAGTCTTCTAATCGAGAAGGTGTAGTTCGCAAAGGTGGCAACAGATCAGGGCCGAGGTAGATACAGTGATTGCCAATGGAATCTCTTTCCAGGAGTTGATTCGATCTCCCGAAAAGCGGGAGCTTTTGTGCGAAGTGGTTTACTGCTTCGTGCAGGAGGACCATTTGCCTTGGAGACAATGGGGTCAAAGAAAAACACTTCAAGAGCTCGATGAATCTCTTCAGGACACCTTGAACCATATCCTGGCGCTACGCGCACTGAAGGAGAAGGCAGAAGTCAAGATGTGCAATGTGCAATGAAGGTTCTTCGTACTACAAAGCCGCTTGGGGAGTTTGCAGGTGGGTGATGACCTGGGGGTCTACGTGTCCTGCTTGCTGCTGAGGAAGAAGTGAGGAAGAATTGCAGTTGCGCAAGACAGGCCCTGAGTTCACATGTCAAGGCTTGGCCAGCTTGATAAACCTCGACGGTCAAGCCGGGCTTTTGGACGAGCACCTGCTGGATTTGTACATATACTATGTAGGGACCACAGACTGCAATTTTGCTTTTGTGATCCACCGACTAGTTTTCTCTCTTAATATGCTAGTCTCGCTCAGCTGCAGGCCCTGATGGCCATTCAGAGCCCAAAGCCTAGGCAGGCCTTTTGTTATGAAAGCTGGCAGCTTGAATAAGTGGCATGGACCTTTAGCTTCGCTGCAGGCTTCGGGTGGCTGGCCTTGCGATCGTTTGCAGTGTCACCGGATGGTCTTCACAGCACCAGCCGGCTGGATTCTTTGAGAGCCACTTCCCAGCTTGGATCTTCCAGCAGAGTCTGGATCGCAGATTGGGCCGAGGTTGTGGCGTTGCTTCCGCACTTATCTGCTCTTGCAAACGATGACTGGTGGGAGGCAAGGGCTTGGACAAGGAGGTGATCAAAACCCTCTGAAGAACATCTGCGGCTGTCCGCAAGGTCCAAGCCCAGCTGCTGCGTTTGTCCGCGAAGCTTCTCGGTCGCTTGTCCACTGAGCGCCTGGGCCTTGGAGCGGTGCAGATTTCCGGCAAAGCGGGATGCTTTGAGCTGAAAAGGCGGCGCTCCGGGCGTGGGAGCCGAAGATGATGGCAGTGCTAGCCTGGAGCTTGCAACAGAAACTGTTTTTTTGCCTCATCAACTGCAAAACTTCAGGTGGAGCAAGCAGAGTTGAGGATGGTGGGGAGGCGTGTGCAAGATCAAAAATCGATTGAAGGGGATATTCTACTGAGCCTGCAAGACTTCTAGCTGAAACATGCTAGGCCAGTGTGGAAGTCGCCATTGAGGAGATCCTGTCCATAGTAAGCCGCCTTTTTGTGGTTAGCAACTCCAAGAACGTTTTGCAGGCCGCATGGTTGTGCTACTCCCCCTGCAAATATTGCCGCAATTTTCTGTTCTTCATGAGGTGGGCCTTTCGGCACTGGTGCATGCCCTGCCAGACTATCCTAATTTGCTGCCAGTCTTTGCAGCTGCCTAAGAAGATTCTCTTGCACACGGCCGACGGTCATGTCCCAATGCATAGTGAGTTCAAAAAATTGGCCTAGGTAGCTGTGCTCTTGGGGCAAACTCCAGCCCTTCGGCAGAGACTTCTTCAGGAACCCGCTGAGGCATACGACGCTGCTCTTGACATGTTTTGTGATTTTGCAACTCCTGGATGACAACAAATTGAGGGCGATGACAAAGCCGGCCGCACCTATGTGCATGGCAACTGCACTTGTACATATGAGGCAGATGTCTCTTTCTTTGTTTCTGTTTCTTGTTGGGTGGCTTACTCATGTGAGATGCTGTGCAAGGAGACCTGCTTGCCAGAGATTTGGCCACATTTGGACATAGCGAAGACGCTGACGATGCAGCTCGAGGCGATGCGGTCATCAGATTTTGTTGCAATCGTGTGTTAGTGTGCTGCAGCTGAAGAAGCATGGGAAACGTGCCAAAGCATGCCATCGCCTTGCGAGGCTAGTCCACCTGACCGTCTGGAGATAGAGCACCTCGAGGTTTTGGACGTACCAGAAGCTTTGCAACTGTGAGAAGTTGGAGCCCAGGTGCTTTTGGCTAGCCTGCCATTTTTCTTTGACGAAGAGGAGGCAGATGAATGGCTCAATGTCTTCGAGAAGGCTGGGTGATCATATCGGCAGCTTATTGAGACTCAATAGCATAAGCTCTTGCGTAGGGCCATGGCCTGAGCAAGAGTCGGTCCAGGGCAATGTGAAACTCTGGCACGAGCTCAATCCGCCTTTCCTGGTCGACTCTGCACATTTTTCGCGAATGTTGTTCCAGCCAACTGGAAAGTTAATGAAAGTTTAGGTCGCGATGATTTCTCGACATAGCTTTGCATAATTGGCTCTTCTCCTCATCATAGTAGTAGTAGTAGTAGTAGTAGTAGACATAGAGGTGGAAGTAGGAGGAGGCAGCCACAGAAGAAACGCAAGTAGAAGCTGGCGTAGAAGTAGAAGAAGTGGCAGCGGCGGCAGCAACGGTACTCGTTACGCTCTAGGGATGGGGCTGCTCGCACTCTCCATTATGCCCTTTCCATTTTCAAGGCAGCAGGAGTTTGAACCTTTCAGCATAGGAAGCGGGGTGCTCCCTTTGCAAAAGCTGTGCGATGCTGGCCGACAATGAACTGAGGTTTGGAAAGTAGCTCTATTGTAGAGATGGCAGTTCTTGGAAGGTTCAATGTCAGCAAAGCTAGCTCGAGCAGCAGAACCGCTGCAAAATTCGCGAGCGATCGCGACTGAAAGGTCAAGCGGTACATCTTCATGTCTCTGGCAAGCTGCTCAGATATACCGAACGTGACAGTTCTTGACCAGATTGTTTTCTATTAGGGGCTTGCTGAGGTGGATCCGCAGCTTCACCTGCTTAGCACCCAAATCGTCCGCAAGTTCTGGGCAGCACCCTCACGTCTTTTCCACCCTTCGACCACATCGGACCTCTTCCAAGCAGCCTGATACATCTCGCAGCCGAGGCAAGCGGCGTTGAGGCGATTGCCGCAAAGACGCGGGAAAATTCCCTGGACATGATGGGTGAGGCGAATCCTGGCCCAGAGGATTTTAGGCGACAAGACCTGATGCTGAACCGAGGCTCTCACCATGCTGTACGATGGCACAGAGCGTGTTGAGGAGGTGGCTAACTTTGCGCAGGGAAACCACGCTTTCTCCTTGATCATGATGGGAATTTTCAGATCGCATCAGGCTGCGGTCATCGTCTTCCTTCGTGAGATGCGCAGTCGCGATGACGATACGCAAGCCGAGGCTCGTTCATTTGGATGGCCAATGAAACGTTGCCTAGATGGCAAGCACACGGAATCATTTGTAGGTGGATCGTATGATCGATCGGTTCGCAGAATCTCATCCAGACAAGTACCAGGCACATTGACCTCTGCTGATGGAAGAGTCGTAGGATGCCAGACTGGGCACTTCTGAGGTTTCGCAGCTGCACACCGTGTCCCAGGACTGAGGTCATTTGGATTGCAGAAGGTTCACATGTGCGTGTCCGTGTGTGATCGCGTATGTCCACAGAGTATAAGGTAGGATGATTGTACTGTACACATGTCAGCAACTTCACTCCAACCGTAGCTAGTGATCAGTCTCACCCAGCGTTTCACAAGAATGTGGCACCTGCCCATTATGCGAAAAGGAACCACCAAATGCTGACAGTATGTTACTTCCAGCCAGCTGTACACCTCCAGCAGCTTTGCTCGATGTGATCCCTCATGACCTCTGGATTCTAAAAACATAATCCCCATAGACACAACCGTCTCAGCTCCATTGTAGCTGCACGGGCCCCGGCTGCCGGCCTACGACTGAAGTCGAGAAGCCGGGCCTGTTGCCGCTCAGGCCTGACGAGGGCGGTGTCGACGTGCCAGGTCGGGGGGCAGGTCAGCGACGTCCTGCCGATGTCTGGGTGGCACAGTGGGGCGTTCACGGGGCCGCTGCCTTCGACACAGCCGTCACTTGAGGGCTCCGCTCTGGTGCCGTGCTCGCTGAGTCCGCGCGCTCCGGCTCAGCAACCGCAGAAGCCTATGAGGCCAAGAAACGCACCGAGCTCCGCAAGGAGCAGCGCTTCCTTACTGAAGGCCTTCAATTTCTTCCTCTCGTTGCGAAGCCTGTGGAGGAGGTTGGGGACCTACTCCAACCACGTGGCGCAACCTTGGTGGCCGGTCTGGTGACACTCCAGGAGCCGAAACGGACCGCCTCCTATGCCTCGCCGACGCGCTCCACCGCGAAAATGCCCGGGAAGTGCTCCGATGCCTGCCCGCCGGGGCAGAAGATCACGCCGCATTTCATGATTCCTGAAGCCTTCGCTTGCCGCCTCCCGTGCTTCAGCTCTGCCTTCCTCCTTTCGCCCCTGTGCTTGCAATGAGTCATCCCGGAGCTGCCCTGCCCGGCCCCTGGCACTCTTTCCCGGCTGTGTGGGCCGATGTAGGTGTACATAGTTATGAGGAGCCTGATGGCCTTACCCCAACGCCCCTGTCCGACCCCTCATGAGACCGGACGGGACGCTCCCACCCGCTGTGGTTTTTGAGTAGCGCTCGCCGTGTGTTTTGTGAGCCCCGCCTTTTTGTACAAGCATCCAGCCACGATGCAAGTCTGTAAAGGCTTGGCTGGTGCACGGGTCTAGACAGGTGATCACGCCCCATATGATATACTCGCTTATTCCCTACTAATCCTCCCAGTAAGAGACTGTTCCTAGCCGTCAAGAAAGCATCATCGAGGCCAGTCGGTGCTCGCAAGAAAGACAGGTTTGCTGTTAAGGTAACTTAGCTTAAGTTCTTTAACAGCAACTCGGTAGAGCTGGGCCGGGCTCTAGTTGCTGAGCTGCACGTTTCGGACAGCCCATCGATCGACTGAGAGCAGCTGGCTCCTTGTTATTGTTGTTGTTCTTGTTTTTGTTCTTGTTCTAGCCTTTCCAGCTCAGGCGTAGGATCCAGGTAGTGCAGCCCCGGTTTTCCTATCGCGCCATGGTGCAACTGTCATCATCCTGAGTGGCTCGGTCCCAATTCCGAGCAGAGCCTCTGGCTCTGAAAGGGGAGGGTTGCTGGTGTGCGTAGCCAGCGGGAGCTTTGCCCAAGTCATTGCGAAACAGCACTGTAGTGCTACACTGTGGCCCCCCAAAAATCTCATCAGAGGGCCATGCGCGAGGCTGAACTACATGGGACAGCCACTTACAAAGGGAGAACTATGTCCCTTTCAGCGCTTGGAGGTCATGCGGGTACACGAGGCCCTAGGCTTAAGATTAGAAGCGTAAGACGTCTGCAAAAACTGCGTGAGGAGCACGGTCTCACAGCGCTAAACACATGGTCATCGGGCAAGCCCGCAACGCATGTTCAGGGCAACTCGGTGTCACAGATTGATTTTGCCTTGACAAGGATATATCAGTCAGAAGGACCAGCCAGAGAGTGCAAGCCAGTGCGCAAATTCAATGTTGCCGTATAGCGTGATGGCAGCCCCTCAAGATGTTTTGGCGCTAGAAGAGGTTCGTCGTCTGATTTCTACGTTTCATGACGAGTGAGGAGACATGCTAGCTCAAAGAATGACGATAGCCCGCCAGCTCGGAACTGCCCATGTTCTTTTTTCCGCGACACGCAGCTGCTGGCGAATCCTGAAGTCTACATGAATTACGTCGAGAGGGAGTCCTCCCAGGATTACCACTGGGGCATGAGATCCTTGATTTTTTATTTCTTTAATCAGCTCAACGACGAGCAAGGGTCGATTTTTCAGGATGCGGCTTCTGACCTCTGTATCTCTTTCCGTGCAGAGGATCTTCAGCTCGAAAGAACCAAAAACCTCTGGGAACAAGAATTCGCGGATGCTCAAGAAGATGTGTGGCGCACACAAAAGCATCCCAACATAGAATGTCCCTCATTGTGGAGTTGCTCCCGGAGGCAGCAAGAGGAGATACTCCCCTACCATCACGTCTTTTTAAATGACTCGATCAGCACGTGCTCAAATGCAGCAGAAAACGCTACTGCAAAACCTGTGAGCTAGCAGATTAAACGCGCTTCAAAAGAGCATCAGTTGGTATGAGGATCACACCTGGCTCCCTTCAAGGCGGGGGAGCCGTCGCCGCTCATCGCGGCGGCGAAACAGTTGACTTCGCTTGAAGCGCCAGGGGACATTGGCCCATTACCTGCAGCAGGTAGTGGCGTTGTCAGTGCTGCCAGCACTCTCGACGAGGTCCCGAGAACTCCTATTGGCCGCTTCTGTTTCGCTTCCTTTTCTCTGCAAATCAGCAGGCCCTTGAAAGCGCAGCCTTCAGCTTTAAACCTCCATTGGTGGCACGGATGCCTAGGTGGTATCCTCTTGGCCTGAATGGCCCCTGACCGTCGCACGGAGCGTGAGTGCCAATAGAACGCGCTTCTTTGGGGAAGCAGGGTTGAGGGATTAACATGGCGTGCGTGTTCATCCTGTACCCTGTAACTTTGGTTCCCGCCCGCCCTCGCGGGCACGGATGCCTAAGTGGTATCCTCTTGGCCGGAATGTCCCCTGACCGTCGCACGGAGCGTGAGTGCCAAAAGAAGGCATTTCTTTGGGGGTGCAGGGTTGAGGGATTAACGTGAATAGCAATTGGGAAGAGTACTAGGAGTATAGCCGACGTCGAGCAGAAGCCGGGGAGACCGAGGTCTCGTGCAGGAACTGGGCCGGGCAGTGGGTTCGCTCAAGGTCGAAGTCGTCTGCCGTCTGCCTTGTGGCGTCCAGCCGCAGACGGTCCCACCCATCCTGGGTGGACCAGACGAGGTGTGCCCCGGTCGCCGGGTCCTGTCGGACGTCGGTCCAGTCAATGGAAAGCCAGGACAGCCGAGGCCTCGAGATCCAGCCGAAGTCGCTTGCGCAGACCAGGATGGGCTTGCAGTCGAGCTCGTCGGAGATGATCTGGGCGTCCTCCTTCCGCATGGTTGTGTTCTCGGCGAGGCCGCCGAATTTACGCTGAGGGAGGCGCTGCTTGATCTTGTCGACGATTTCCGTAGCTTTGAGGAAGAGGCCGGAGTGCAACACACCGAGCAAGCGACGCTGCCGCAAGAGAAACCCCACCTCCGCCAGCTGTTCGTAGACGGACAGACAGGCCTAACGAGCCAGCAGCGCCTCTGCCCGGTTCAGTTTCAGCCTGTCCATCAGCAAACTCGAAAGCCGGAGATGCTCCCAGGTGGCTGGTCAAACAAATTCCAGAATGAGGAGTTGCTTTCCAGACAACCGCAACGAGTGGGAGAGAGTATCCAAAGCAGAGCTTGCTCACACTGGTTGAAGCTGATCTCTCTCCATTTCCTGCAGGCAACTCCAGCCGCGCAGGCACAGTTGAAGACCTGAACATGCGCCGAATTTCGAAGAGCGTGAACCAAGCATTTATCGATGCAACGCAGGATGCAAGTCCTTTTACACCGAAGCACGTGCAAGCCCTTATCCAAACTTTCCTTACTGCAAGAACGTGCTTTAATGGCGAGGATCTGCAATGCAGACGGGGATATCCTGAAGATGATGGCGACTGGTTTCGCTGGCGCTTCCGCTCTGAAAAGGCTAGCTTCACAACGGAGCTCAAGATCAGATACCGTGGTGGCTACCACTTGGAGGCTCTACATTCTGTGATTGCCTTTGGCCGCCTTTTTCCAAGTTCGGAAGTAACGGCTGGCTCAAGATTCTTCGAAGGCCGCCAAGGGGTGTACCTACACCAACCTGAGCGCAGATCCAAGGCCGAAGGATATTCCACCCAAGTAAGACACAGTAGACCACACGTCTACATCGCTTTGGTGGTTGAAGTAGCAGACGATCCAGTGCAATCTTAGAAGAGAGGCAAGGCGACCGAGCAAGTCATCATCGCAAGTGAAGGCGTTCGCATCGCAGCGTTGCTGCTCAAGTTATCCACGAAACAAAATATTCAGTTGGTCTCCGCAGTGAGAGATTGGGCTCCGGATCTCGAGCTGGATCCGGCCGTGGTCTTGAGACCTGCGTTTCTTCCAAGAGAGGCGCAACGAAGTACTTGGATTGGGGCTGAGATTCCACAGATCAGGACTTTCCCCTGTATTGATGGTAGGCATGCTTTGCTCGTCTGATGCACATATTTACAGGGCATAGCCAGCAGAGCTCGCGCAAAAGACTTGCCTCTCAGGGCTTTCGTAGTAGTCAGACACACGTGGCAATTGGCTTGCCTCTCCTTCCCCGATACTCAGGCGAGGCCTAAGGTAATGAATCAGAGGCAGCTCAACTTCTAGCATGCCTGGTACTTCAGCTTAACTGCTCATCCATGCTGATCATGGAGGAGTTGCTCCTATGGCTGCTTTTTCAGACCTTCTGGAGAATCGGCTGTCTGTTTTTGTCTACTAACCACATGCTTGGAGCCACATTTCTTTTCCAGAGTAATGTGGCCATTTTCTGTACAGCCCTTAGCCTCCAGACCCATATCAGCCTAGGCAGCACACTGCGTCCCGCAAACTTTGCAGCTCAGCAGTCGTGTTGTGCACCCAGGTCTGGTATACCCAGGAGGGCGCCGAGCCAACCAACAAACTCATGTTAAACTTGCATCCTTGGAGAAGAGTTTCTAGGAGGTTGCAAGGGAGTTGTTCCTGATGTCAGAAAGGTCCTAACACTCATGCCCAGCTGTCAGGTTGCCATCAACATGCCTCACACTTGAATGCGGAGCAACACAGCAACTCAGCTCAGCCGTATCACACTCCAAGCTTCATAGTCATGGCGCTTTCACCTAAGAAGGCACTGACAGCACTGGCCCTCCTGTTTCTCTTTGGGGCAGGAGTCCAGGAATTGGCAGGGCGACAAGCTCATGTTGGGGATGATGGAGAGCGATCAGGTAAAGTGCATGCTTCCATGTGATGGTCAACAAGTCCATCACGATTGCGCATTAGGTGGTAACCATCAAACCAACCGGGATTTGCGCCCAGAGATGTCGTGATTTTTGTGATGAACCTTCTTGCAGCACCTCACCACTCCAGAGCCTCACATTTTTTGGCTCCTCTTTTTACACTCATGCACCTATGAACCGATCCTGTACATCTTTCGAACAAGGCTCATGTCCATCTGGGCTCTGAACTTTTGTGTTGGCCCCGATCTTTATGCATTTTGGCACAATCTTTACTTTACTCCTTTTCTGACTGCCCAATACTTGGTTCTGGGCCCACTGGCGTGCATCACTTCAGCGGCAAATGCTGGCAGTTGTTTTTTCTACGGATGCCTTGCATCTGCTTCATTCTCCGCTGCCACTCTGGTATCTTTTGGCATCTAAAGCCTGCCTCAAGCAAGTTCTCTCAAAGGAGCCACGTCGATTTGACAAGGGATTATGGTCCACCTTCTGCAAACGGCAACCCCGCTCTTCCCCCCCTTTCCATGTCATTCCGTGTGGGAAAGGTTCTTGGGGGTGCGGCCATAGCTCATCTTTAGAAGGTACAAAATATACAGATTGTGAGTGTTGTGGGGCCGCTGACTTTGATCCACGGCATTTGGTGGAAGAATGTCCTGCCTTTGCTGAAACTCAGAAAAAGTATAGCTTTGTCAGTATTGTGGCATTCTATCGCTTCCTGTGCCCCCTGCGCTTCTTGCTTTCACTGAGGGCCCTGGACTTCCTCCATTCTCACCTCCGCAATCTTATTTCACTGATGGTTCAGCCCTCACCGATCTCCATGTGTGCAGAGTAGCGTTCTGGACTATTGCAGTGGCGCGTGCAATTGGGTCCTTCACGCTTCTATCGGGGGGGCTGCCCCCTGGCCCTCTTCAAACCATTGGAAAAGAGCTTTATGCTATACCAGTCTTGCTTCAGTCCGGAGGCAAGGGCACTGCCTACAGTGATTTGTGATTGTCAGTATGTGGTTGAGGGTTAATTCGACAGATTTGCAATTTCTGCTGGGCTGAGATGGATTGGCTCGCGTCACCTGATTCTGATCTTTGCCGACAGGTGGCGGGCTGGGTTGCTGCCCGAGGCCCATCGGCTATCTCCCTCTCCCTCGTCAACGTCAAAGCTCAACTGGAATGAAGGGCAACGCGGCAGTGGATGAGGATGCGAAATCCTTGTACTTGCTCACAGGCCTGGTCTGCCACCACGTTTCTTCATCATCTCTCTAAAGCCTTCTTTTGGGTACGGCAGAAGGAGGAAAAGGATTCCACTCCGGCTGAAGATGGTTCCTTACTGGACATTGGAATCTGTAGCTCCGGTCCTCTTTTTCCACATGCTGCCTGCTCTGCCTGGGATCCTACATTGAGATCCCAAGTGGGACGAGTCTCTTGGAATTCATGCTTGACCAAATGATTACCTTCTGGACCTGCCTTCCAGTTAACATCAAAACGTACAGGGGACGTTTCGAGGGTGACCCTAAAGTTCATCCTTCTGCAAAGGCATCCCATTGGCTTCCGACACCTCAGGAGCAGCTTTGTATGCCCAAGCGGCTCTCTCAATGGTTGCATGAATTTCTGACTGTCTCTGACCTGGTCTATCCCTCCTTACATGTTACTCCTGGTCCTCGGATCAAGTTGGAGTTGCGACTATTGCTTTTGCTAATTCCCAATTGCATTCCTCTTGCATGGAGCCTCCAAACATGTTGGTTCGAGATCTTGCACTGGCATCCTCATATCCTGGCTAATGGTGGGTTCTGATGTCACCTGTAGCTGTCGGCTCTGAGAGACGCGCAGCGCCACCATGCCCTGCAGCGCCCTTGCCTCGGCATCTCTATTTTTTAGAGGGAGAGACGAAAGGATTACACTTGCACCTTGTAGTCCCAAAAACTACATGTAGCCACTACTCTGGATAACATGTAGTGTTTCATGACATACCTGATCCCTGGTCTAGGCTCACTCACTTTGTTGGATTCTGGGTGAGACCGTCTTTTGGTCGTCCTTAGCGGGGCTTGTCTAGGAGACCAAAGTGCAAGCATGTTGCTGCTTCCAGGGTTGCAAGAAGCAAAGGCCGTGCTCAGAAAGCCCGCTTGCGCCGGCGGATGAGGCCACGTGTGACGCTTTCAATTGCTATTCCTGCTTTTCACACATGTATTTGGAGCCCAAAACGGGTTGGCGGCAGCTTGCCGATCGACATTACTCGAGAGTTCCTTCTCAATGATGGCGTGCATGCTTGCAGCTCAGGAGAGCGGTCTCTGACGGGCTTCTAGACGGACTTCTCACGAGGCATGGAATGGTGAGCCAGGACTTCGGAGAACGAACGCTTTGAGAGACTCAACCAGGTACAGAAGCCTTGGCCACAGGCCTTCAAGGCCACTGCAGTCACGTCCAGTGGCTGCCCAAAATCGGCAGCGCGTCACAGCGTGCGGCGGGGCCTTTGGCCTGCCTGTGGTGACCTTCCTGGCCTGTCTTTGTCACAGAGGCCTGCACTGTGCAGTGCCCTGGGTTTGGGACGTGATGCATGCGACCCTGCAAGGTCACCTTCCACGACGAGCAATGGCATCAATGGACCTTTGTGGCGACCTCAGGCTGTTACCACTAACTGCTCAAGGCGAGTGAGCATAGCAAGATTCCGCTGCCATCTTGAGCGTATTGCAACCTACAAGAGCTACAGCGCACGCAATAACAGCCTCTAGTCACTAGTCGAAGGAACACATCGTTGGGGCCAGATTGTTTTTCTCGAGTTGAAATTAGATTTACCTGTTAGCAGCTGGATATCTCATGCGCTCATGGCATTGTTCATGATGCCATGGACCGATTCCTCGTGCGTCGCGCCAAGCCTGACGCCGGGCCAGATCAGCCTCTTTTAGACGCAGAGGCCGGCCGATTTGGACTGCCCCAGATCACGGAACTTAGTTGTGTCTGATTGCTGAAGATTTGTCGTCTGTCTCCTGCCAACGTTGTTTTAGGGCCTTGCCAGGAAATCTGAAAACAAGCCCACACTCAAGTAGGAGTTGCACTCTATAAGCAAACGCAGTGCGTTTATCATCTCGTCTGAACATACGTGCTTTGAAGAAAGGGACATTCCATTCCTGGATGAGATTCTGCAGCATGATGCGGCGTTGTTTTCACAGTGCTGTCGATGTGACTCACGCAGTGCTATAATTCGGGATTGTACGCATCATATGATCCTTGACTCCAGAAAGCCCTGGCTGCCAGTGTTTTTATTTGTAACAGTCCAAGGGTGATCTTGAAGTGCCAACAAGTGCCGCATCCAGTTGGGTGCTGGGATTTCAGCTGCTTGCTAGAGCTCTAAGCCCTGGCAAAGGTTGCCTCGAAGAGACAGCGGATAGATGGTGCTGGGCTCAAGAGTTATATAACCGCGTGCTTTGTATGCACTTGGCTCCATGGGCACGAAGGTGCCAGAGATACTCCGCAACAAGTAGAGGAAGCCAAAGGCGATCCTCGGAAGATCATCTCTTGGAATCTTAGTTGATCTAGCTGCTAACGCTGCTAATCTAGCCGAGTTTCTTGCGTGTTCTTGTGACCTTGGTAAGCTCGCGGATGTGAAGCCAGGAATGTCAATGGGCTTGCCGTCCAGCTACGAAATAATTGGTGCTGAACTCAGCTCACAGCCGTTGGGGCCACATGGAGAGATGCGGCCGGGAGTGGGCGCATCAGAGGTGGGTGTTGGGGTTTTGAGGAGCATCATCAAGCCATTTCTGGAGAGTGAGCAACCCGCCGCTCGGAACAGATTATTTGAAGACGTGATGTCTGGACTTGACTGGCAGTCAGGCTTCATTACGCCTCAATCTCATTGATACGTGCGTGTGCTGATGATGGCTGACTCATCAGGACGTGATGTGCTTCCAGGAGGTACGGCTTCCAGCAGCTGGACCCAGAGGCCAAAGTGCTCATTTTGGCTTGATGCTCAGCCAGACGGCTTAATTGAAAGCGCCAGAGCTTGTCCGCTCGGCAGCTGGGCTGAGGGCCGAGGGTTAGGGATTACAAGGGAGTGTGATTTTCCGCGACCGTGGCTGGAAAGGAATTAGGTGGACCTGGCCTCAGCCCAACAAATCCGAGTTTCGTCCTTTTGGTTGGGGGGGCCCTAGCCAGGCCTCGCGCCAGCCCACACGAGTACCGGCCGACCAACCAAACCTTCCCGCCACCACCCAAAAAATGAACAAGCACAGGCAGATCTTACCTATCGGCCGCCGGGATGGTGTGGGTTACTCCTGGTCTCCGGGTTGCGGATCTAGGCGCCCAAGGCCTCCGGCCACGGTGGACTTTTGTGCACGGTACGCCGAACTGCAGTAGTTACCGTTAGTGACTTTAGTGTAGGTGCCTGGAGGCTGCAAGCGCGGCGACGGACAGAAACGCTCCCGCGGCGAGGCCGGGCATGGCCTTAGCACTCGGTGCTAAGAAGCCCAGAGATGTGCAGAGCATTGCAGAGCTTTCTTGTGGAGGCAAAGTATGACTCTGCCCAAGAGAAGGCTCGATGTTTGCTGGCAGTCAGAACTTCGTTAGGCTTGGAAGATTCTCGAGGCATGGGTTCTGTGCATGGAAGGCAGATTGGGACCTGGTCCAGCGGACGCTGGTTGCGACCTTCACGAAGACGTATAGTTTCCACTGGTCGCTGGCCGACTGGAAATACTCAGGAGGGCGGATTTAGAGACCTGTCTGTCTCCGGCTCTCCGTCTCTCTCTCTCTCTCTCCTTCCCTTGCTCCATTGAAGCTGCCATCAACGTAACTCCACACGACTTGTTTGCCTGTATCTGCACGTGTGTCAGGCACTTTAATGATGATCCGGCGAAGTCTTCGGCCGTCTCTCATCACCTACACGTGCCCTACGTTTGGCAAGGATCATGCGTCGCATTTTGATCCGGCAGATGCCAAGTGGCACCCAGAGGTGGGGGAGAACGCCGATTGTCGCATTGTCGGAGTGATGGTGAAATCTTCGATGCCTGCTGGGTCGGGATGCTCGCCCTGCAGGGGAGAATCATCCGAGTCTGTGCCTGAGTAATGTGCCCCGCATGATCTGAATGTAAGGGTCCAATCAGTCCCCAGGCTGGCTTTGCAACCTTTGATTTGCTTGCGCAGCTACCTTGGTGCCATTCCGTGCAGTTGTGAGACAGACCGGTTGAACTTTGTGATACGTGGCAGTCTGGCATTGCTCTCCGCCAAGGACGTACTCGCCGAACAACGGCAGCGACCAGGAATCTTTTGCAAGAAGGGCCGCATGGGACAAGGCGTTGAAGGAGGACTCCTTGGATTTCTTTGTGTTTGTGTATGGAGAAATTCAGATCTTAGGCTGGAGAATGCTTTCTCGAGACTGATGGTTAAACTTTCTTGCAGGCAGTCTTGCCTTTCAGAATTGTTCTATACCCGCCCAAGGATGGAGGAGAGGGTCAAAACTGTGTAAACCGGCGCCGAAGCATGCTTGTTGTTCATGTGATGTCTTAGCAGCCTGGGCCAGAAAATTGAAATCGACTTGTGATCAAGACATGCGCAATGCTGCAGGCGAGTAGGTACGGAAACAGGGCTTCTGGGAATTCAACAGAAGAGCTCCTCATTGTTTGGGTGCTCTTGAGAGATCTTGAGAGCAATGCGATCATGGCAGGATGTGGTGCAACGGAAGCGCCCGCTGGTGTGGATGGGGGATCTGAACGTTGCAGCAGAGCGTGTGGAGCTTCGGCTGCTCCATGGTCGAATGTAGGACAGGAGGCAAGTCCTGATGAAGCATATTAAGCCGCCGAGTCAGGATGTGACACATCCGGACTGGTTTGCGCAGCAGTGCTACCAGGAGCAGGGGTTTTCTGCAGACGAGTCTTCAAAGTGTCCATTTTTCGGGTGGACTTGCTGCAGGGCGATCCTGAAGACATGCGTGGCCAGCCTGGCTTCACTGAAGGCGTGGGGTCCCTTCAGTTGAGGAAACATCAGGTTTGTATTCGGATTCTGTGCCAAGTTCTAAAGAGGCGAAAGGCGACGCTTCAAAGAGCTCCTTGAGACTGGTCGCTTGGTGGACGCGTACAGGCTTTGCTCTAAGCATCCGCAGAAGAAAGCTCTGCATCGACATCACATGAAGCCAGGCAGCTGCATCCCGCCAATGACGTCCCTCCTGCGCACTGCTCTGAGCAGTCATCCTCAGAGTGGCTGTAGACGTCAAGAAGCCACTGGCCCAAGGGCAGGACCTTACTTCACTTGGCGAGGACATCCTCCCGTTCATCAGGCTTCGGCTAGTCCTTCCGTCAAGCCAGAAGATTTTGTTCTGGAGAGATGATGCACTGCATGGCAGAACGTTGCGAAATACCACGCGAAAGGATCCTTGTCTGGCAGTTAGAGCCACCATTGAAAGGGCATGTGGAATTGCCAAACTCGGCTTTTGCGCATGCGTCTGTGTCCGCGAACTGTCCGGAACAAGGAATGCGCATCGATTACGCGCTTGTGGCCGAGGACCATGACATGCCTAGTGTTGCTAAAAGGCGGAACAAGCTTCCCAGCCCTCTTGTTGGGGGTGCTGCTCCTGTAGATTCCCCTCCTCCGGAAGGCAGGACGACTCTTGCCCACTGACCCGCTTGAGATCTGACCCTAGTCACTCCATTTGACACTGGCATGCCCCTTGTTGGGCGACCTTGCTTGATTTCTTTCATTTCCGCAAACTTCCGTTGTCCAGGCTTCTCGTGCACAGGCAAGTCACAGAGCGGACTGCGATAGAGTCGCAAGGAGATCTTGTCCCGCTTGGAGGCCTGCGACATTTTGGGCCAAGGTGCCGACAGGAATGGTTTCCTTGGATCCTTAGCTGCAAGAGACAGCTGCTTTTTGGAGCCCTGCAGTTTGGAAGGGTCTGCCTCAGCTGTTCCGGCTTAAGGCAGGGGCAGTGCAAAAGATGCCATGGCAAGCTCTGAGCAGCTACGACAGTTACGATTGTTTGAGGCACTGGGGCTCGAGGTTCCTGTATTGCCAGGGAGTCTTATGAACCACTCGGTACTGCAAGGGCCGGGTGGCACACAACAGAGGATAACTTTGGCCCCTGGCGCTACGCGACAGGGCATAGCTGGTCCAGATGCTACCGCAGCTCCTGCAGCTGATACCGGCGCTGCAGCAAGGAGTGCCAGGGAGACCGAACCAGACTTGGCTGGTGGCTCCAGGAAGTCAAGTGCGTAGTGGTCCACGCAAGCTGCACGCAGCACTTCGCAAGCCGGCAAGTTGAGGCCTTTGCATACTTTGGACGCAGAAATTTATCTTTGCACTGGATGTGCAAGGATGTGGCCCTGTAACTGGATTTTGCTGACAGTGCTTGAGTTTCCAGTGCCACCCATCACAGCCATGTGATGATTGTGTTTGAAACGACTTCTGCCAAGAGAAGCATTTGGCGAAGGAGACAGCCTATTTTGTCAGGAAGGCTTGCCAATAGAATGGCAGGCTCGGCACAAGCACACAATCTCATGCAGCAATCAGCTACTCGTAAGTTCACTGTATTCATGTTGTGTGCTACTGCTGGCTTCCTGCCGCTGGACTTCATCAGGTGCTTGGCCGCTGATTTTTCCGCGCCACGAACAATCTCTGACCTTTATTCTTTTGGAGGTGTAGGTTGGACCCAATCAGCCAGAAGTTCTTTTTGCTTGAAAGGGGGACTCTTAGAGAAGGTTCTGGCCACACATGTGACACACCCCAAACTCTTCAGAAACGGGTCTGCTGGTCAACAGAGGATGCTTCAACGCCACCCCCGAAGTAGAAAGCAGTAGGTACAGACAGGCTATTAGGATCAACTCTTAGAGTCGAGCAGACCCGACTCGTCCTTTGCCCTTTCGTGCAAGGCCGGCCACTTGGTGCTGTGCCAAGTCTCGAGATCTTTAAAGTGTGATGAGTCTGAAGCACAATTTGGAAAGCATGCTTGTCATATCCGTCAGATCTGCCCTCAGTCCTTAGGAGACGTAGACAGTCCGAGCAGTAAGGCACGGCACAGACTCGGCTTGGGAAGTTCTGTCCACATATCGCGCCCCATGAATCACCCCACGAACATATGAAGTCCGAGTCCTGCTCCTGTGTAGATGATGGCAGAATTTGTTTTGCGACTCCCGATTCGGTGTTCAGAAAATGCTGAAAGTATGCTGAGGATTCTTGCGCTTTCAGCTTGTTCTGCTGCAGTTGGCCTTTTCGCGCTGTCTCCCAACCCGTGCTGTAGATGTGAGTTGCTCAGGAAGCGACCACTGCCCGCTTCGACTTACCTTACTGGGAGGGCCATCGGCTGAACCTGCTGAGCCGAAGATAAAAGAAGTTGCTGAGCTGCAAGATGCTGCGATTCCGCATTATCAAGTAGTTTTATGCTTACTATTATTACTATTGTTAGTATTAGTGGTATTCTTGGTATTATTACCGCTTCTGCCCCAGCATCCAGCTTGGACTGAGGCAGGCTTCAAGTCTCCCCCACAGGTGACAGTGCTGGACTAGCTCTCTGACCTGCGGATGCCAACTGACAAAGTCTATGGTCGATGGCATGGCTGGAGAGAAAAAAGCGGCCAAAGTTGAGACCGTTGTAGCATGATGCAAAAGATGAATCGCAGGGTTCCATTTGCAGAAAGCTTCGTCTGGAAGACAGTTGTGATGCTCTTGAGGTTCTGATGAACCTGCAATGGTGACTCGCTTTCGGCGAGGCTGGCGAAGTTTGAGAGCATCCGCTATGAATCCATGTGCTACTTACGCCTTTGCCAAGCTTACACGGCAAATTGGCAGGCAGGTCAGCTCAGTGTTGCTCGAGACAAAAGAAACGGCGGCTTGGCCATTTTTGAGACGGCCAGCAATGGCAATTGCCAGCAATCACCGTGACATCAACACTTTGGCAGAAGCACTCTTGGAGCATAGTTTGTGCCATTCATGTGGAGGAATCCCCACGGCAAACAGCCGCTTTTTGAACAATGAATGACTGAGCAAATTGGCAGGTAGCTGTTCGCGGTCTGCGGCCAGTACTGTCCGAGCTGTAGCGATCTGGAAGATTTGCAGCAGCCGAAATTAGGTGTTCTTGCACCATTCATTGCATGGGCTCAGGCCGGGACATACGGTTCTGCTGACAAAGGCAGCATCTGGCCCTCGTGGATGCGCTCAGACAGGGCGGCACCAAACACAGGATTTCCTGCACTTGGCATCGATTTTTCAGCTCTGGCAGGTCTTTGCCAGCTTTCGCAGGAAGGTATGTTGGAGGCTTAGATGGTCGAAGATGCAAGACAGGTTGATCTAGGTCACGGCATATGCACACCATTTTTTTTCAGGCTTGATCTGTGGAGAACGGCTTTGCTAGCGCAGGCTCCCGGCAGTGTGGGCTGGTTGAGAAGATCCATAGCAATAATGGTAATAATGATAATAAAAATAGTATTCACAATCGTAATAATGATAACAACCGTCAGCTCCAGCGTAAAAGCGCGCAGAATCCTCGGCGCGCAGGGCTACATGACAGAATCCTTGTAAAACACAGTATTTCAGCAAGCAGGCAGCTATAGGGAGTCCCGGAAACTTCACGGGGGGGAAAAAAAGGGTATGATTTTTCAGCGTGCCCTTGCCGAAATATTGCGTTTTGTAAGGGATTCTCACAGCCAGGAATTTGGGAAATGTGGGTCTGGAAAGCAAGACATGGAGCTCGCCTCATCTTTTTTTCATGGAAAGTCTTTTTTTCATGGAAAGAGCCAGCCCCTGTCTTTGCAGGCATAGGCATCAAGCAAAAATTGATAAGGCATCCAAACTAACTTGGCAAGCATCACCAAATAATTTGACAAGCATTAAAAATTAGTTTGAGCCGGAGGCCACTGGCTTCTTGGCTTTTCGGCTTTCCTGGCTTTTGGGACTGTTCTGCATGACATACAGGCCCTGGCTTCGTGGCTCTTGTTCTTATGTGTTTTGCTACTATTACTATTCTTGTCCGTATTCGTATTAAGACTCTTGCTGTTCCCCCTCCTCTTTTTTCTTGTCAATTTAGAGTATAGCCCCAATCTTTTCTTGATGCTTATCAAATTACTTTTTGATGCCGGGCGCAAACATTCTTTTTTTTGTTGATTTGTTTGGTCATTTTTTAGATGCTTAGCACTTTTTTTGATGCGTCACTCGATTGGCAAGGGTACAGAACTCCTCGCATCGTTGGACTTGTGGGGCGTAGTGTGGACTAATTGGACAAACTTTGCACGAATGGGCCACAACATGGACAAATGGGACGACCCTTCGAATAATGGGGCGATGATGAAATTGATGAAATTAAGTTAGAACTCCTCACACGCTTGGACTAGTGGGGCGTGGCTGGGACTAGCGGGACGTAGCTTGGTAGAACTGACCTTGGACTAATAGGACGCAGCTTGGACTATTGGGGCGATGCTAAGCGTAAATCAGAATTACTCACAATCTTGGACTAATGCTGCGTAGCTTGGACTGACGGGCGAACCCTGGACTAATGGGGCGTGGCTTGGACTAATGGGGCGAACCTTGGATTAGTGGGCGTTGATCAAACAACATCAGAACTCCTCACACCTTTGGACTGATGGCGCGTAGCTTGGACTAATGGGCATAGCTTCGACTAATGGGACGAACCTTGGACTCATGGGGCGATGATAAAATCAGAACTCCTCACACCCTTGGACTAATGCTGCGTAGCTTGGACTGATGGCGCAAACCTTGATGAAATAACATCAGAACTCCTCACACCCTTGGACTAAGGAGCTCTGGTGTTCAGATGCAGCCAAAACATTCGGGGCGCAGATGCTGTGGTAAGCGGATGCGCCTTGATCTCCCTCATTGCTCCATTTCGTGCAATGAAAAACGCGATGCCTGGAATACGCAGTATTTTGGGCGCTCGAAACACTTCGAATTTGTAGTTCGTGCCATTCAGAGAGGTCGGCCAAGTATGCATTTCTTGCGCGTTTACGCTTCAGCGGAGTCAATAATGGAGAACGGCTTTGCTAGCGCAGGCTCCTGGCAGTGTGGGCTGGTTTAAAAGATCCATAGCAATAATAAGAATGGTAAGACTCAGTTAATAGTAAAAACAAAGATAATGATGATAGTATTACTACACAGTCATGTTGGTGCAGCACCAGGCTCACTTGGAGCACGAATTTGCCAGCACGGTCCAAGCCTGAAAGCGCATTAGCTTTTGCGCCCTATGCATTTACCGGAATCCTGATCATCCTTAACATGCAAGGCCGTGTCTTTGAGGACACCCAACCGCACAAAACATGCCAACACCAGAATAGAAGGAAGGGGCAAGTAACAGACTGTTTTTGCTGAAGGCGTCGCAGAAGCGCCAAGCCGCTAGATGCTACCAGCTGTTTGCGCAGCGAAAAAATGAGAGGACTGTTGACACCACTAAACTCTGCTGATGAGCTAGACGGACTTGGGATTGGCGGGGACTCTTGCGAGTGGTTGTAGTCAACTCCCCCAACATGGCCCGAGAGATTGCTGTCTGCAACGTACACCTCCCCAGAGCTGGGCAACTGAGGCAAGCAACTGGGCCGTGTTTGATGGTTGGTTTTCTGGACAGCCGCTGCGCGAGCTCCAGTGCCATTTGTGCATCATGGTGCATGAGATAGCAAGAGGTTTTGCAGATTCCGCAGCCAAGGGCACATGTCCATCTACATGTGGTGCCTCGGAAGCCTGGAGATCTGGAAGAGAACGACCAGGAGTGCTGGAACTCAGCGTTCCTCCAGGACATTCTAAAAGACAAACCTTGAGAGGTCTATGCTTCCTTGGAAGCATGGCAGCCACTGGCTGAAGGCTGGCTGCTGGCCGGCAACTGTCGCATTGGCAAATCAGCCTTTACCTGCGATGAGGAGGGGCTGTGCAGCCCCCACCTGTTGCAGATGGCTGAGAGTTTTGCATTCTCATTGATGTGATGTGGCATTGTTGTAGGTTGATTTTGGATTCCTTCGTCTGCAGGCCTGGCCAGCAGACGAGAATCGAAAGGCCCGAACAGGCAAGTGCTGCAGATATAATTTGCGCGGCTCACGTAGCATTCTCTTGAAGGTTGCGAGATTTCATGCTTTTGCAGAAAATGTGCAGTTTCTGCTTATCTCTGAGCCTTGCGCGGAGGCAAGGACATGGCTGACGAGGCTTCAGCATACCGAGCCACCATTGGGCAAGGACTGCGGATCAATTGCAAAATGTTGACTGTAAAGTGAGTGTCTGCTGAATGTGTCCAGCAACATGATATTGCTTGGGTTCCAAAGCACGATTCAGCTGAAAACAATCATTGGGATGATGATAGGGTTTCAACGTGACGAATTAGAATTTTTAGTGCAGGCCAGTGGCGATCTAGTGATATGAGAGAGCGCCTTACCATCCCGCAGGAGTTTCAAAGCCTAAGAAACATTAGAGGGCGTCTCCATCTTTGTTTGATTTGCACATTTCGACTGGTATGAGAACCTAAGCATCTTTTATGCCATCCGGCCGTAACTGGCCTCCTTCCCAGCCTTGACCAAAACTTGGAGCCTTTCAGTGGTGAAGCCACAGCAAGCAGGACTTGGAAGCATTCCGGAGGATCAGGCTGGCAGATCTGCAGCCAAAGTTGCCAAACAAGCAAACCACATCTTACATGAGCCTCTCAGTCTGAGAGCATGGTTCCCAAACCATCACTTGCCGCCGCGGCATACTGTCAAAGTGTGGCTGATCCATTTCATTGTTGTAGATTTGCCTGCCGTGCCCTGGATGCCGGAGATAGGGTAGCATCCTCCTGGAAATTACTGCCTGATTAGAGTGGCACAAACCGGAAGATTGAAGTATGGGCTTCTGCGATTCGAGATTAGCCGACGCAACAGCTGACACACCGACGCTCGGAAAGAGACCAGAAGTTGACATGCGGCACCAGAGGAAAGGGAAGAAGCAGCAGCCTTTAACTATGACAGAGGCGACGCAGGTGGGTTCAATGGAGACAACAAACTGCCCTGGTGCAGGATGGTGTTTTATTGGGAGACCACGCAAGCTTGTGGCAAGATCGAAACAAGTTTCCGAGATAGAGTTCGACGTCCACATACGTCTACAAGAGATAGAGGGCCGTTGTCCACAAAAGATGGCTTTGAAAGTCTATTGAATGAATGTCTGCCACCGGCTGAATGTTTTCCCCTGTCACCAGTTCTATGGAAACAAGGCAAGAGAGGGAAGCAAAAGCGAAGCCAGCCTTTGGTAGCCGAATCGCTCAACGGGAGTCGCTTCACCAAGGCCCACGTTCAGGCTTAGAGGCGCCCCAGACAGCACCATGACAGGCCTTCGCTCAGTTTAAAATACCAGGGCCGGCAGCCTCAGAAGCTTGGAAAGAGCGCAACATGTTTGAAGAAGGGGTGAAGTCGCTCAGGTCACAGATCTTCTTTGCTTCCCCTTTGAGTTTAGCTTTCGTGAATCTGAAGCCACTGGTTCCTGGCCACGTCTTGGCACGCGCCCTGTCCATCGCGAGTGGAATTCGCGGAATAATTTGCAATTTGGGCGGTACAGGTCACGCCCCGTCGTGTTGCACCTCGCCTTGCCGACCTCTCTCAAGAGGACCAGACATGACAGAACAGACACTAGGGCGTGCTCGACACAGCATTAACATGCCCAGGAGTTCGACGACCTGTTCTGCACAGTACAAGTGGTTCAGGCTGCGGTGGAGCGCTTCTATGGAGCTGAGGCCGGTGTTCACAACGTGTCACAACAAAGGTTGATCGCATGGAAGCATGCCGTTTGCAAGTCGATGTCTTGTTGGAGGCTTCGAGGCTTGGGATTCAGGATGGCCCTGATGCCGGGCAGTCTGTTGCTCACGTGCATGTGCCCCGCCCAGACTTGAACAGAATACTATTTGCGAGCACTGCAAGCTCCCTCTCTGAGGTGCACATCTTGCCCATACCTGCGCAGACAGTCGACTCCACGCTGTGACTTCCGTGCGCATCAGAATCAGTAGTAAAGGCATGCGGAAAGACTGCTTGCTTGCAATGCTTGTTAGCATGTCCAGAAGGCACTCTGGGCAATTGTTCATGCAGCCCGCGCAAAGTTGTGTGGCTTGGCAAGTGTGTGCGCGTAGTCTCATATACTGAGAATGAAGTGGACATTTTCAGCGGAGGTGGTGTCAAAAAAGATTTGTGCATCTGCAGCAAATAGCAATTATTGGCGAGAGCCGTCCTGAAAAGCGCCAGTCGCATACGCTGGCAGCTGTTGATAGTTGCAATGACTTGAGCTCGCTGTTTAGTTGAGTTCTCTGAATCTGCGCGGATCGCAGTTTGGCTGTTTGCCGGGGGAGTCCTTGCCCGTCGCAAGCAGCTCAGGTGCTTGTTGATCTCCTTGTTGTTGTGCTTGAGGTTATAAAATCTCTAGCCAGCCAGTCTCTTGATGCTGCTTGTGCAGGATCTGATATCGATAACCTTTGCTGCAGCAGCTGCAGAATGCCACGATGAAAGGCATGCTCCTGCTCCGCTCGTCTTTTCGTCCTTGGGCTTGGTGCCTGATGTTGTTCGCCAGGTCAGTCTTCGAGAGTTCGCGCCATGCCATGCTGGAGAGAACTTTTGGCTTGTTTGGGCCATCCGGGGTTTGCGTCTCTAAGCCATGTACTCTGCCAGGTCACGCTTGTGGGGATTCTGTTTGTCTGGATCTGAGGGCTCCGGCTTGCACACAACAAGTTTTGGCTTCCTCGAGTGCTGCAATGTGCTACATCAAGCGAAAGGCGTCTGCGCCGCTAACTGCCAACGGTATCCAGCCAAGGCTCGTAGATTCAAGTGGCTGTAGTTTAGCAAGCATGGAAGTCCTGTATTGTGCCAGTGGGCAGGCCTGTGTCCGAAGAGCTTCAAACTCTGCCGAGCATAGACTGTCTTGAAGTGGGGTGCTTGGCAGGGTTCTTGTTCCCCCTTGCACGCAAACCAAGCAGGTGCAAGATTGGCATGTTTAGCTTGTACTGCCTCTTTTTTTTTGCTGCTGCTGTTGTTGCAGCTCGCGCCCTGCTCAGGCCCGACTAAAGGATCCAAATGCAAACTGCGATGATATCATACCTCAAGATGGCAGGACTAGCAGGGTTCCGTCTACACAGCCTGCGGCCTTTTTCACCATCATTTGGTGCATAGCTGAAGATCCAGGACCGTGCGAGTCATCTTCAATATGTCGCAGGCAACAAGGGCTATGCCGGGCTATGGAAGCGAGATACGGCTGATCGTGATCCTGACAGGTTGCCCCAAGGAGTGCAAGCCACAATCAGAGCGCCTCCAGCGAGGAGACGCAGCCCCAGTTGAGAGCTGCAAGGCATAATGAATATGATTGAGAAGGTCTGGGCTGCGTGATGTTTCGGGTGCCTAGATGTGCTGAGGGTTGAGGCGAGATGTGCGCAGCTCTTGCGTTCATGAAGCCAAGGAGCGTTATTGTGCGCTTCTCCATGAATGAGACCAATGGTCAGGAGACTTCAGCTGCTTGCCTGCAGGAAAAGAGGGCTTCTCACGCAGAGAGTGTGCCAACTACAGCCGGGCTTGGCTTTTTGAGCAGGTCAGAGACATTTCCCTTTTCAACTTTCCCAACTACAAGGCGGCGGGACCACAAACTGCATTGTGTCTGACTGAGGCACGGATGCGTATACGCAAACCGGCGTAGTGACAGCACGGTAGGATGGACTGGTGCGGACAGCTATGGAAAAGTTAAATTTGTACGGCTGCTGGGTTAGCGATTCAGGCACCGGCTTGCAGAAACAACAATGCGTTTAGACCTGAGACAAATGCCTTGACGTGTTGCAAGCCGAGTTGCTTGGAAAGCTCAGGCCGGTCTGTGACCCCTATGGCTTCCTCAGCGTGACAGAAGGCGGTGTTGCTTTGGTGAGATTCGCATTGTGTGTCTGTACAAGTTTCGCTATCAAGGAAAGAACTTGTCCCTGGAACTTGAGAAGTGACAACCTCAGCACTGAGGGGAATCAAGGGCCATTGCCAAACTGATTTCTATTCACGCTTCCAACATCTTCCAACTAAACCGTAAAAAACCAATGCTGTTCAGCATGTGAGTTTTTTTTGCGGTCTGCCTGTGTTTGCAGACCTCTCATCCAAGGTTGCGTGCGCAGCATCTCGTGATATGTGAGGACTTGATTTCAGAGCCAGCAGGGTCCCCAATTGACGGCCCGCCACTGTCTATTTGAGTGATTGAGGATTTTAGGGTTCGAGGATGATGTGTGGGTGGGTGTCAAGTTTGAACGCTGCTGCTGCAACAGATTGATCAGCGGCACCTGCAGCCCTTCTACGTGGGCGTGGCTATTGCCCAGGCCGGTTGGCATGACAATTGGCCTGCAATTAGGCTAAAGGCTATGCCCTCTTGCAAGGCCAATGGAGCTGAACTGAGCTTGTCAACTTTGAGGCAGTACGGTCACCTAATCCTGCAGCAAGCTCAGACTCAGTCACCGGTTTCTGGAATGGCCAACTTGTCCACTTTGTTTGTTCCTTTTTTGGACAGGTCCGAGTGGAACATGGACGAGGCCTATGCCGCCAACGGGCAGCTCATGCGCTGCACATTCCCCGGGACCGTATCCCCGGAATCAAAAGTACTCCAGTTCCGATGATGTGGAACAGAATTGCTTTCAGGTCCAAACCAAGCACTTCTTCTCATTGTTCCAGACAGAAGCCAGGCAATTGGAGTGCACTCATGCCTGGGGAATTCGCAGAGCGACAGTGTCCATGCGAGTCACCACAATCTTCAGGTTGTACTTGTCACAGATTCTTGCCGCTATGTTTGCGAGGAGCAATTGCTGTTTACAGCTTCAGAACGTCATTCATTTCACGTTAGCCGAATCTGTCCGCCTATGCTAGCTAGCGCACAGGAGAAGGGGGCTGCAGCCTCGCAAGTGGTGACCAGCTCACTGCACCGTGGCAGTGTGGCTGATGCGGTCCGAGCCCAGAGATCAATAAACGGTCTAAGTTGTAGCAAGCAACTTGACGGGAGGGCACACTGCGAAACTTTTGCATGTCGGCGAAAGACCTTGTAGTTGACCTGGTAGTTTCCTTGAATAGGGGGACTCATCTAGATAACTGGGACCCCCAAAATGGTGCCCCCAATTTTGGGAAACCCCCCACCTCAAGCAAGTCAGGAGCATGGCAACCAGTGTAGTTGTTTCCATTTTCTTTTCCATTATCCCATTATAGCTATAAATTATATACTGTTATTAGTGTCCTTCTTTTTCATCCTATTATGGTAGTTACCCAAAATAGGGGTACCCTACTATAGACCCAAATACACTATAGTCCTTATTCTAGGGACCCCCAAAAAGGCACTCCCAATTTTGGGAAACCCTAAA